CTCACATGAATCGGGATCGCTAACGGCTTCTTCATAGCTTGGCGATGATGCGCCATCTTCTTCTGCTGAGTCCATGACAATATATAATGACCTTTCAAATTTATCTGGGGAGAGAGAGAGAGAGAGAGAGAGAGAGAGAGAGAATGGTGTTTAACGTTCACTCGACACAAACTAGGTCATTTCGGGACTAACATATGGTTTTTAATTTTAATAATTCGCTTGCGCGTAGGGGTCTTTAGCAGTCGGAGGAAACCGTAGGATCCGGAGAAATCCAACGAGGTTGGACAGGCGACCCTACTCCTTGTCACGTACAACCGGGCAAATTTATCTAGGGAAACAGAGTAAAATATAATTCTAAAAACAGGAGAATGGTTCAAATATGCCAAATTAATAATTAAAAGCAATCGATGGGAGGAAACTAAATTTACTTCCGTGGACAAGGATACATGTATCCTTTTCATTTTAAATATTTCAAATTGTGATATTTGCTTTATGCCTGAGGGGTTGGATGGCCGAATAGTTAACGGGCTGTATAGTAAGATCTATCACTGAATCAAGTGACGTGGTTTCGATTTTCCGCTTGTACGTGACAGGAGTAGGGTGAGCTGGGTAAACTGTATTATGTATAGCAAGATACCCCGCTTCGCCCGGGGAATAAATTCGCAAGGAGCCAAATTCGACAGGGGTCCAATTCGCCCTGGCCCCGAGTTCACAAAGCATTCTCAGACTTAAGTTGAGAATTTACTCAACTTTCAATCACTGTTTATGAAAAATATCTTTGATCCAGAAACACGAAACTTTGCACATAGTTTCTTATTGATGTATTTGCTACATTAAAACAACAAAAGTTTTATAAAGGTCTATATTTTAGTTAAAATAAGGTGAACAATTTTGAGTAAATTCTTTACTTAAGTCTGAGAATGCCTGTTACATAAAACTCTCCCAGGTCCTAGTGTTGTAAAGACAAGTAAAACGAAATTTTGAACTATAAAAAACGAAACGAAATAGGATCTGTATTTAAATCAGATTGGCGCACATATAATCCTACGTATAAACATATTTATCGTGTTGGGTTGTAAGTAACGTATTGCGGACATTAGAAATGTATAATGTACTGTTATCAAATCACGTGAAAGAAGTGGGTTAAATGTACGATTTGTCATAAGCAGTCTTATTTATACTCTACATATCGTTCAATTAAGATAGTATATGATATCCTCTCTTGAGATAGGGACGGATTAATCGTGCATGGGGTGTGAAATGAAATGAAATGAAATAGGTTTTAACGTCCTACTGTTCTGCTCCGACTGGGCTAACGAAGACGGGGATACGCCATACAGTGTGCAATGAGGGAAATTTTGCCTGGGCAGCGGCACTATGGCCTACTCTTATTTTACGTGCACGCCAATGTGTACACGGGGCCTCGGTTTTTCTTACCATCCGAACGACTAGGCAGCTGTCATTGTCAGGCCCATCGCCCTGCACCACTGACAAGGGGAAACCACGCCGGAAAATCGGCCAACACAAGGATCGAACCCCCGACCTCCAGACTAGCGAGCCAGCGTCTTACCCACTTAGCCATCGTGACATTCATGTACCTATACATACCTCTAGGTATTAGTGGTACATAGCAAAGTACAATACAAATCGTCGGTGACATGGAAAAACTTATTTTTCATGATTTTTAGTAGTATAACTGCCTTCGTAGCTTGGATTATATTTTACAGATAAGGTTGCTCAAATGTAGTTTTGGTGTGTTATTTGTAAGATAATTAAACAAATTAAGTGCTGTACAATTTATAATTTTATTTATTTATGTTATTGTTAAGCACACCTGGGCACTTATGTGTAGGGTGAGCTATAAAAAGTACCCTCATAATAATAAAAATAATACGAAATAATGTTAATAATTGAGTGTTAGTTGTACTTAGTGGGTAATTGTGGATAAAGTATATATACACGATAAAAGCTAGCCAATGAGATTAAAAGATGGAAAATTCAGCATTGAATATTTTCGTTAAGTAGACTTACGAGGTTTTTCCATGTCACGGACGAAACACTACTTACTTGTTTTCTTAAATTACACTGTATGTAATGTCTGTAACGTCGACAATAATATATGGAAATATTCGAGTTGTGCTGGTCAATTAAAAGATGGAAAATTCAGCACTGAATATAAATCCTAAATAAAATCTATTTTCGGTAAGTAAACTTATACGAGGTTTTTCCATGCCACGGACGAAACACTACTTACTTGTTTTCTTTAATTACGCTGTATATAATGTCTGTAACGTCGACAATAATATATGGAAATATTCGAGTTGTGCTGGTCAATTAAAAGATGGAAAATTCAGCACTGAATATAAATCCTAAATAAAATCTATTTTCGGTAAGTAAACTTACGAGGTTTTTCCATGCCACGGACGAAACACTACTTACTTGTTTTCTTAAATTACACTGTATGTAATGTCTGTAACGTCGACAATAATATATGGAAATATTCGAGTTGTGCTGGTCAATTAAAAGATGGAAAATTCAGCACTGAATATAAATCCTAAATAAAATCTATTTTCGGTAAGTAAACTTACGAGGTTTTTCCATGCCACGGACGAAACACTACTTACTTGTTTTCTTTAATTACGCTGTATGTAATGTCTGTAACGTCGACAATAATAGAAGGAAATGTTCGAGTTGTGCTGGTCAATTAAAAGACATCAATAGTAATATTTCACAATAACGAATATTCATCATCACGACCTTAATTCTTTGTCGGGGGAGTGGCGTACCTTAACAGATTGCACTTTAAGCAAGATATTATTTCAATATTAGATCAATGTTTGTATTATATCAATGTATGTATTATTAAGCTTTTATCACTAACATATCGGTTGGCATTATTTTATTTATAGACTATGACTGAAATCCTCACGCACTACAACCAGGGGACCGTTTCACGAAATTTTACCTAAGATAATTTGATTGGATAATATTAGATTGATTTTAGTGCTTAGCCAATCAAAATTGAAGCATCTACTAAAATTTGGATTTTATCAATAGTTAAGATTTCGAGAAACAGGCCCCAGTAGAATAGTATTACAACTGATCATACGATACTACCAGGGATGCATACAGAGAGAGAAAGAGAGAGAGAAATGGGGTTTAACGTCCACTCGACACAAACTAGGTCATTTCGGGACTAACATATGGTTTAATTTTATTTCCATAATTCGCTTGTGCGTAGGGGTCTTTAGCAGTGGGAGGAAACCGGAGGACCTGGAGAAAACCCACGAGGTTGGACAGGCGACCATACTCCTTGTCACGTACAACCGGGGATTCGAAACCACGCCAGTTGACTCAATGACAGGTTTTATGATACAGCGCACACGTGCTAACCAGTCGGCCATCCAACCCCCCAGGCAGAGGCGTAGCCGCGAAATATATATTGGGGGGGGGGGTCCGCAACCCTAACCCTAACCCTTTTTTAAAACCCCTAAAAAAATATAAAGAAACACCATGTGGCCATGCTGTCTACACAACTCATTTGCTGATTGGCCCATCCACCGCGTGCAAAGCATTATGGTTACGTGGCTGTCCGGCTAACTAGAAACAATTTTATGGAACACAGTTACGTTTCACTTAAAACACGTTTCCAGGACGATTCTCTCTGTAAATGTAAACCATATTGGGATATGTACAGGTTTTATACAGATAAGATCTTAACTAATCCTAATAATTGTTGTAAATAAATAGGAGTTAGGGCCTACTATGTAAATTTTCGGGGGGTCCAAGTATATTCAGACCCCCCCCCCCCCCCGAAAAATAATTGGGGGGGGGGGGGATCGGACCCCCCGGACCCACCCATGTGTGACGCCCATGCCCCCAGGGATGCATACGGTCATGGATGAAGATTGGAGAGATCGTGTCACACTGTCACCAACAAATCAGTAAAGTAGTTAAGCCTCTAACCCAGTATCATCCACAGTCTTCGAGATTGAAAACACAAATTTATTGTCGATTTAAATCAACATTGATTTTGTGATCTTACCTGGAAAAGATGGGATTCTGATATCCAATATTTAAGACAAAATAAACAGTTTACCATTGGTACACGAATCGTGTACCAGAAGCGTGTCGGCGCCATTTGTAGCAAGGAGCCACGGTGGCTAGGTGGGTAAGGCGCTGGCTCGCTAGCCTGGAGGTCGGGTTTTCGATCCCTGCATTGGCCGAGAAAGTTCGTCCGATTTTCCGACGTGGTTTCCCCTTGTCAGTGATGCAGGACGGAGGGCCTGACAAGGACAGCTGTCTAGTCCTTCGGATGAGACGAAAAACCAAGGTCCCGTGTAAACATTGGAATGCACGTAAAAGATCCCTTGGCAGTTGGAATTCGATATAAGAGTAGGCGATAGTGCCGCTGCCCGGGCAAAATTTCCCTCATAGCACACTGCATAGCGTATGCCAGTCTTCATTAGCCCAGTATAGGAGCAGAACAGTAGGACGTTAAACCTCATTTCATTTGTAGCAAGGGACTCGAAGAACGAGGCTATTCCACAAGTCCTGTCAAACGGTGACGTCATATTCTTATCTGGAGAGCATGCGCAATAAATACTATTGATTTAGACTGGAATAACCAGACGCTAGAGATCGCCATTCGATTGAGATTTCTCGCGTATTTCGCTGAACATAACTGATTAGAAATTACAGTAAAACAGAAGCAATTGAATGTAAATCAGTTTATATACATTCATATTACAATATTATATGCGTTACGATCCATTTGTGTCAATTTCTAGATCCCATCCTAAAAACTAGACACTGTCCTTGCCAGGCCCTCCGTCCCTCGCCACTTACAATCGAGAAACCACGTCGGAAAACCCCGGGTTTTCGGCCATCACAGGGATCGACCCCCGGAACCCCTGGTTAGTAGGCCAGCGCCTTACTTACTGAGCCACCGCAGCTATCTCTACATAACATACACTAAATAATAACAAATTTAGTAGTAGTTAAACATTTATATAAAACATAATTTATTATTATATATATTAATATAAAGCAATCTATTATTTACAAAATTTCAACTTTTAAAATATCCTGATTATATCCTTTTGATATTTATAGTAAAAATATATGATTTGATATGAACGAATCCTTAACAGGCGTATAGGCGTATATATATATATACCTATCTTAATTATTGATTAAAACATGTTGCACGACTTAGTATATAGAATAAAATATAATTTAAAAATCCTGAAAAATTCAAAGATAAAGTAAGCCGGTGAGTACATTACAGCCTAAGAAGTAAATATAAAAATCTCATCAAGACAAATATCCTATGAAAAAAAAAAAAAAAAAAATAAACAATGAAATTGAAATGGGGTTTAACGTCCTATTGTTCTGCTCCAACTGGGCTAATAAAGACGGACATACGTCATACACTGTGTTGTGAGAGAAATAGTAAAAGTACATGATTTAACAGACATACATGCAATATGCATGTAAAATGAACATATCTAATATATGTATTAAAACATTTTGTGCGGGAATATTTAGTAAAATAATATACGAATTAATATCAGTGTGTACTTATATACATGTACGATAAAAAGAAAATTCAATAAAACTGAAAAATACAAAGATAAAATAACCCGGGTGAGTACATTAGAGTCTAAGAAGTAAATATACAGACCCCCCCCCCCCCCCCCACACAAAAAAAAACATAACAATCTCCTTAAGACAGTTATCCTATGAAACGAAATAAAAGTTATCAAATTCAAAAACACAAATTCATGATACACATTTTAAATTCAGAACCTTTCTAGTTTTGATCATATAATCTTATTTTGAGTTATTCCAGACAGATTATCAAAACGTAAACAATGTAAATTGAAGTATTCGCCGTTACCTAATTTATTCCATCTACGTGTATTATTAACGTGTTAAACGACCAATATATACCTAACTAAAGGTGTGATAGGGCATGTATCACTTTCTACATCAGATCTTTAATTGATTATGTAAGCTTAACAATAAGTTTGAGAAATTCAAGTACTCTAAATCACTGAGATTTTGAGGGCTTATTTATCAGTGTTGGCAAGTTCAAGTACTCTGAATAAAAAAAAACATTGAGATTTTGCAGGCCTTTTAATTAGTATTGGCAAGTTCAAATACTCTGAATAAAAAAACACTGAGATTTTGTAGGCCTTTTAATTAGTATCTCTGAATAAAAACCCCAGAGATTTTGTAGTCCTATTACTTAGTAGGATGACCCATGTACTCACAGAAATACAGTCCACCGCTGATAGTTCGAGACTACCACTGAAGCGTGCACATTCGCCGTGCCGAGACCAACTTTCTGACAGTATGATACTATAAATAGCCATGGCACGTGCAATTCTCTACAAATCTATCAACTATTACAGCCGTAAAAAAATTTATTGTTGACGATTTTGAATAGCAGTAAAATTAAGCTTCTTGGTTATTACAGCAGATTTAGAAATTACGTTCGTTTCATTTTTTAAATCGCTTTATCATTAACTGTACCGTTAAGAGCGGCATCTTTTGGTTTAGTACAAATAATATCTCTGAATCACTCGGGTTAGACAGGAACATGATACTAGCAATAGTTTCATTTTACTTTTACAAGCTTCTTAAAACGATTGTTGAGTTGTCTAAAGTGCTTATTTCTAAATTCAATTTCTTGTTCTAGCTTTCTGTTATGTTTCGTAAAAAAAGTAGTCTTGATTATCCCGACCTGTCAATCAGACGTAGAATGGTCGATAGACTGGTTAAGCGAGACTAATTTCAAAACAAGGGCACGTAACCTATCTTTTACTCAAATGTGTCTGGATGTTATGGACGACTCTTGGAACCAGTTTTCAGTCTATTATTTATACATGATTAATGGTCATAGCTTATTAAGTACAACATGATCGTTTATTTAGTGACTATAATTGTGTGAAACTGATTTGAGGCTTGGCATATATATAAATATTGTGGCGTAATTGTCGAGATATATGGAGATATTTATTTATGGTGGGTCACCCTATACTTAGCATAGTTCAAATATTCTGATTAAAACAAAGAATAAAGGCCCAGTCCCAGTGGTCGATGAACACAAAACGTATGCAAAAAGGACACAGCGGACGAGCACACTTTCGGGGGTGGCTCCATCCGTTTTCATCCGCTCCAGAAATGGACAAAATTGACGAAAATTTGCGAAAACAGAACGGAAAAGAACGAACGTGGGAAGTATGTAGCGGGGATGTTAAGTGGATGTTCATCGTAAGCCTAGCGGAAGAAAGCGGGTGGAAGTGGATGACAGCTCCGAAGGGGTTATCGGGGATAATTTCGAAGCGGACGCCTAGCGAAAAGAGCCGAAGCATAGCGGGTGAAGCGGATGCATCACGTACTCCTTACGGGAACAAAGGGGATCCCGCGCGGATGTATATCGGATGCAAACCGTTCACTGCGCATGCGGGGTGTATGAATTGCGTCCGCTCCGCAGATATAAAGGGATGCAGCACGCGCGCAGTCAGCATAAAGTGGAAAGACGTGCTGGCGGCTACATCGATACATCTCCACTACGTGGCAAGGCGAAGAAGGCCAGAACGAGCACCCTACTCCCTGCTGAAGGCCCTGATGTTCAAGCCCCTAATGCTGAAGCCCCTGAAATCCCTAAACAAGCTCCTGGAGGCCCTGATGCTGAAGCCCCTGAAATCCCTGAACAAGCTCCTGAAGGCCCTGATGCTCAAGCCCATGAACGCCCTGCTGAAGCCCCTGAAGGCCTTGAACAAGCTCCAGCCAGGGAGAAGAAGAGGCAACGGAAGAAAAAGGAAGAGAGGAAACAGTACACCGTTTCCGAGGAGCATGAGGATGATGTGCTGGAATGGCTGAGGGAGAATGAGTACCTCTGGAGAAAGGGTCACAGACTGTACCGGGACACCAAGAAGTGGGCAGCTTGGAGAGACAAGGCAGAGAGCCCGGGGTACACTGCAGAAGTACTCCTTGGATGGTGGAAGCACATGCACTCCTGGTATGGGAAGCTACACCTCAAGAAATCCGGGCAGGCCGCCATCAAGCTCACTTACCGGGAGAAGTACGTCATGGCCAAGTGCAATTTCCTGGAGGGTGAGATCCGCCACCGAGGAGCAGCCCCGCTGAGACCCCTCTCCCTCAGCCAGCCCACAGACAGCCAGCCATCTTCAAGCCAGAAGCCACGTACCTTATCCAGACAGGAGTCTTCAGAGGGCCGCACAGCAGAGACCCCCTCGACAGCTGCACTACCCATGGTGCAGAACTTAGAGAATCCCGTGGAGGATGACGCCCTGCTCTCACAAATGGAGGAACAAGCGGCAGCCACCAGAGGCCAACCCACCTCCAGCACCAGCTCCAGAGGACGCAGGCAGAGAGGCAAACTGGAGGGCCGGGACGACATTGTGCTGTTGGAGATCAGGGACACAATGAAGACCAGCACAAGCCTCAAGGCCCAACTGAAGCTCATCCTACCCAGTCCAGGTCTGCTCCTCCACCCCAGGCGACGTCACAGCCCTTCCACGGCTTTCAACAGTCCCTCACCTACCAAGACTAAGACTACCAGGTCTTCCCACAGCAGAGGCAGATTTTCTCAGTCCAAGACCAGGTTCATCAGACGCCACTCATCACCCAGCTGCAGACCAGACAGCCCCAGCACACTCACCCCAACCCTTCCTACACCCCAGAGCCAAGGCCGTCAACAGACAATTTCACAGCAGTATTGGGCCTGACATCTCAAGTCCTTCATGAAGGGCCTCTCAACCTCTCTGGACTGACGTTTTTTCCCCGTTTTACATCCTCTTTGCATTCGTAAGTGCAGTGGGAGCGGGCCTTAAGATTTTGTTTGAATGAGAAGCGTTCTATTATGAGGTAATATGTGGTAGTGGTGTGTTTGTGTTGGGTAAATCACAATTTGACTTTAAGAGAGAGTCTATTTAATTCGATTCTATAACTATATCTGTCAAATTAAAACGTTGTCCTCTTTTTTCGGGTGAGTCACTGTAAACAGTGAAAAATAAAAGAATATAATATTTGCATCACTATTCAGATGGCATTTGTGGTTACTCGCTGTCCAGTTACAATACATATCGAAGGCTGAATTATCCCTTGCCAATGCCTTTTTCCGCCGTTTAATCGCAGAATATATTCAGTCTCTCAACGCATAAGCGCTCCATACGTCAGAGCAGACACAGCGACAGTTGGCCAGCTTGTGATACCCTTACATGTTTGTAGTGTGCAGGCTACATGGATGTTATTTTTTAATGTTTTCGGGAATCCATTAATTTTCTAGTAAGATTGGATATCTCTACACGATTAATAGATAAATATTTGCCATAGTTTTATTGGTGGTAAATACCATTTAAATACTTCCGTGGGAATGCATCTTTAATAATACAAGAATCCAAATTCAGACTGGCGCACGGTTCAGGCACTAATGGGTTTACGTAGCTATTGAAAATCCTTATAAATTTCTAAGCATTTCCTTGGATTAAGATGCCAGCACGTTTTAGTGCCAAAGTCATCCATTTTCCAATAAACCAAAATTCCACAGAAACACTACACGATGTTTTCAGAAGCCCAGTATCAATTCGGCAACTTTTAACATGCCATGTGTAACGGAAGTATGTTTCCAAAACAAGAATCACTTAAAAGGAAAAATCACAGCATCCGACATCGCACCCTTCGCAATCACAATCACCGCAATCTCTGTCACGGTCACGTCGTTTAATGTCACGGTTAGGACAACCTCTACCAATTCGATAATTTTTGACATGAAAAATGTAAGTAGGTTTTTAAAAAAAATGTGAGTCACTTAAAAGGAACAATCACATCCTCCAAGGTCGCACCCACCGCAATCACAATCACAACCACCGCAATCACAATCGCAACAATCACCGCAATCACAATCACAATCGCAACAATCACCGTCACAGTCACATGGTTTACTGTCGCAGGTAGGACAAGTTAAACAGAAACATAACGTACAGGTGTCATCAACTAGTGTAGTTCCTCCACCACCATCAACTGCTGTATACCTGAAAATGTCCACAAAATTAACTTATTTAAACATACATTATGCAAGAGCAAAATCTGCCTATTGCAGGTCTTTACTGAGGCTTCAGATGTTGTAGAAATTATTAATTAGATCTTTATTTACACGACAAGCTCAAAATCAACTCTGTAGACCCACGGGTGGCTTGGATACAGTTTGGATTTAAACAGTCGTCGATTTAAAATTAAATCAATAAATGGCGGACCAAGCTAAGGTTTACCGTTAGTCGCTAGTGTCACTACCGGAAACTGGTGATGAAAGGCCTGCCAAGCAAGGCTACCATAAAAATTGAGCATGTTACTTGATAATAGAGAATATGTGGGTGGAGTTATCGTCTGTCAATCAAACGATCGCCAATTCTCATAGACGGTGCAGACACAATTGATGCCTATTTCTAGTCCAAACTTCCAACAGTGACAATTCCGTTCAGAACAAAGTAATGTGACTGAAATTTTCAACATTTTCTTTTTTATCATCTATTTTTGAATTATTATAGCAAGAATGGCCAACTCTTTATAAAACTCTTAACTAATGTATCTTTAAAGATACATTATGTCACATTATGATAAAGAGCTGATCGTCCTTGCTATAATAGTTCAAAAATAGATAATGCAAAATAAATATCTTGAAAATTTCATTCAAATTACTTTAATTTGTGCCAAGTTATCACTGTTTGTAGTTTTAACAAAATGTGTGCATTGATTGTTTATTATCGTAACCACGGTGCTGGTTATTCTAGTCTTAGCCTTGCTCCTCCATTTTTAGATTTAATCACTAACTGGCCGAACCGTTCTATCTACTAAAAATCGGAGCCAGATGGCATCAAAAGTTGATTATGGTCTTGTCATGTTAATTAAATGTCCAATTAAAGGACAATATTTATGCCAGTCATTATCACATATGTGACAGAACTGGTTAAACACGTTCCAAATATTATTTTATCACATATATGAGTAATCAATGTTTCAATAATAGGAAGTGACGAACGCAAAAGGAAAACACGAGTTATACCTTTATATAACCGAATGAAGTGACGGGTGATAACAGATACAACCAGTCCCATACAACAACTTTTGGTCTTCGAAGGAATTATTAGTGAGCAGAAATTCGCCCATGTATCTGTTATCACCCGTCACTTCATTCAGTTATATAAAGGGGTAACACGTGTTTTCCTTTTGCGTTCGTCACTTCCTATTGTTGAAACATTATTTACTCATCTATCGTAGCAATGATCTCTGTGATAAAATAATATTTGGAACGTGTTTAACCAGTTCTATCAAATATGTGATAATGACTGGCACCAATATTGTCCTTTAATGTAACATTAAGTCCTAACTATGCCTCTTTAAACTGTCTATTAGCAGTAAATGACATGAAATTTTAACGTCCTACTGTTCTGCATCGACTGGGCTAATGAAGACGGGCATACGCCATACTGTGTGCTATGGGAGAAATTTTGCCTGTACACCGGTACTACGGTCTTTATTTCGAATAAAGGGTTCTTTTGAAGGGTTCTTTTATTTGGGGTTAATGTGTACACGGGTCCGGCTTTATCGTACGAACATGCATGCCAATGTGTACACGGAACCTCGTATTTTCGTCCCATCCAAACGACTAGGCACTGTTCCTTGCCAAGCCACCTATCTTGCACCTCTGACAAAGGGAAACCACACCTGATAATCCCAAGGAATTTTCTCGGCCAACACTTAGGTCGAACCCAAAGCCTCCTTTTTAGCAAGTCAGCGCCTGACTCACTGAGCCACCACGGCTCCCGATTAGCAGCAAATTGCTCTTCCATAAATTTCAATACTACCTTTTCTTCCCATGAGGGGCACGCAAAAATCTATAATTTAAAAACAAAATGGCAAATGACAGAATAAAGGCTTTACTCACTACACTTTGTTTTTTTCAAACCAAATTATTTGTATTCCTAATTTGTTAATTTTTGGCGTTTTTTGAAATTCTATTTGGATTATCGTCCTTATCAGGCGTTCTAACTTATAGCGTCAACTGGCAAACGCCATTCAGCAGACAGCCACCGTCAAGACCAGTCGCATTTCTTGTAAATTAATGCCAAGTTCTTATGTTTCACTGATAACAGGTCCTCACATTTTGTCTATGCTGCGTGTTCGTCGGGATTGTCAAGCCAGTCTTACAACTGACGGGTTTGATTCCTTAACGAGTCACGTACTCATACAAATAAAGGGTTTGATTCCTTAACGAGTCACGTACTGGGTACACATCATACAATTGACGGGTTTGATTGAAGGGTCACGTATCGGGTACGCATCCCACAATTGACGGGTTTGATTCATTAACAAGTCACGTATCGGGTACGCATCCCACAATTGACGGGTTTGATTCCTTAACAAGTCACGTACCGGGTACGCATCCCACAATTGAAGGGTTTGATTCCTTAACGGGTCACGTGCTCATACAATAAATGGGTTTGGTTCCTTAAAGAGGCATTAGGTAAGATAAGATAAATAGCTGACAGTTTTCGCTATAATAATAGTTACAAATAGATAATCAAAACAGAAAATATTGAAAATTTCAGTCAAATTGCTTCACTCTGAAACGAGATATTAACGATGTACTATAACAAATACTTATGGAAAAACAGCTATTTATTTATTTGACTCAATCACAGACCTTATGATACAGCACGCACGTGCTAACCATTCAGCCTTCCAACTCGCCTCTTCGCCAAAGAATGGGGGGTTGGATGGCTGAATGGTTAGCGTGCGCGCGCTGTATCATAAAGTCTATCATTGAGTCGACTGGTGTGGTTTCGAATCCCCGGTTGTACGTGACAAGGAGTAGGGTCGCCTGTCCAACCTCGTGGGTTTTCTCCGGGTCCTCCGGTTTCCTCCCACTGCTAAAGACCCCTATGCGCAAGCGAATTATTGAAATAAAATTAAACCATATGTTAGTCCCGAAATGACCTAGTTTGTGTCGAGTGGACGTTAAACCCCATTTCTCCCTCCTCTCTCTCTCTCTCTCTCGCCAAAGAATACTTACGCTACAGCTGGTACAGGTTGAGTTTTAACGACGGGCGTAGAATTCACCACGGAGACAGGTTGCATGGTAACGGCCGTTCTCTTTTCTTGTTTAATTTCTTCTTCTATCTCCTTTGGATTTGGATTGGGATTGGGATCGCTGACCGCTTCTTCATAGCTTGGGGGTGGTACGACATATTTGTCTGATGGGTCCATGATGATATTATACACCTGATTTATCTGGGAAATAAAATAATATATAATTTAAAAAACTGAAGAAAAAGTCATAAATGCCAGATTAAGATTAAAAACTAAATTTACTTCTGTGAACATAAAAAGGAAAAGGAAATAAAATAAAATGGAGTTTAACGTCTTACTGTTCTGTTCCGACTGGGCTGTTGAAGAAGTGCGCGCCCCATACAGTGTGCTACTTACTCACTTAACCACCGTGACTCCGAACACCAAAAGGACACGCGTAAATGTATCCTTTTCATTTTTATATCTTAAACTGTGATATTTGTTTTATTTATGCATCTAAATATTCTTTTTTTTATCTCATATAATTTCATCGTTTGGCGCGATATAGCCCGTAACATTTCATTCATTCACGTTATACACAGAAAAGGTTTGTATATCAAGGTTCAAATCTACTTGTATTTGGGTCCTAATGTATATTTGGATTTTCGAAAGAGAGAGAGAGAGAGAGAGAGAGAGAGAGAGAGAGAGAGAGAGATGGGGTTTAACGTCCACTCGACAAACCAGGTCATTTCGGGACTAACATATGGTTTAATTTTATTTCAATAATTGCGCGTGGGGGTCTTTAGCAGTGGGTGGAAGCCGGAGGACCCGGAGAAAACCCACGAGATTGGACAGGCGACCCTAATCCTTGTCACGTACAACCGAGTATTCGAAATCACGCCAGTTGACTCAATGACTGGCCTTATGATACAGTGCGCGCGTGCTAACCATTCGGCCATCCACCCCCCTTGGATTTTCGAAATACAGAAAATTCAAAACATTTTTACGTTCCCATTCATTCATTCACGTTATATACAAAGAAAAAATTTGTAGTTTGGTCCTGATCTATATTGGGTCTTTCGAACCGAAATACAATAAATTTAAAACATTTACGTGCTCATTCTACTGAACTTTAAATTAAAAATAGTAGTATTTTATAAAAAATAAAAAATAAAAAAAAGGTTGTTGGCTGCGCTGGTCTAACTTTAATAAAAGATCGAGATATATTTCACTTAGCTTTTGTTACAAAACAAGATTGAAGGACATGCACCGGCAGTAGGTGGGGAATAGGTTGCTGAATAGTATTTGATGTCCGTGATTGAGTCAAGTGACGTGGTTTCGATTCACCACCTGTACGTGACAAGGAGTGGGGTCGCCTGTCCAACCTCGTACCGGTACGTTTTCTCAACTCCGGGTCATACAGTTTCCTCCCACAGCTAAACACCTCTAAGCGCAAGAGAGTTATTGAAAAAAAATTGAACCATATGTTAGTCCCGAAATGACCATATAGTTGGTGTCGAGTGGACGTTAAACCCCATTTGTCTCTCTCTCTCTCTCTGGTAGTACGTTCCGTGTGTATACCCAATCCCCAATACAATACTACTTATAAACATGTTATTGTTTGTCGCGCTGTGTACATGTATATATAGGAAGTAACGTGTTACACCACGCTAGGTCACCTAGCGGGGTGAAAGAATTAGGTTAAATGTACCATTTGTCATAAACACACGGCCATAACTGTACAAATAGACTATCCTTCAATAAAAGTATTATCTGGTCCTAAATATCCCCTCTTGAGATCAGGGCCTGATTATGCCTGGCCCTTGAATCAACAGTGAAAAGAGGCATATCCTGGTCATTGTCAGTCACAATCAGTATGTATATCAGTATATGTTAGATAAATTAAAATAGATTTATTAGACTTGTCCCTAATAACGACCTAGGCTATATTAGTATAGGACGGAACTACGATTACCGTTTCCGTAATTCAATGGTTTCAGCATCCATATTATTTACAGATTTTATCTACACTTTCAAATGAATAATAATAGCCTGATAATAATATAGGTTTGATATACAAGAAAATATATCATCTATATCTATGCATCTACATACCTGTTGGAATTAGTGGTGCATAGCAAAGTACAATTTTGAAAGCGATGTTTACAAACACATATTCATACTTACTTACTTGTTTTCTTAATGTTGATGTTGTTGATAGATTCACACTAATGTCGACAGAGTTGTTGTCTACTCTGCTACTACTACTACTAGTAGATTAAAAATACCTAGTGGCTATAGTAATATTATTATTACTATTACTTAGGCTACACAATAAACTGTCATTCACGACTCACAAGATTATGAAATAAAGCTTACAAAAGTTGTCACTATAAACTGCCTTTCACGAAGTCTCACTTTGTAAGATTATGAAATTAAGCTTACAAAAGTTGTCGCAATTTATTATCGGGAATTCTAGCTGTACTTTACCTAAATTGACAAGGACTTTAAGCGGGATGTTAATTCAATGTAAGATCCTTTATGTTGATATTAAAACCTTTTATCATTGGTTAGTATTTTTGTTCGTTATTCTATTTATAGACTATGATTGACATCACGCAGTATAACAAGTAAGATAGGCTAGTTTTGCTTACGGTTATATCTATCTGATAAGGCCAACTTGAAGTTTGGTCAAAGGTCACGAGATGTAAACAGGGCTAGCACTAAACCCAATCCTAATCCTGGTCCTAGCCCTAATACTTAGCCCAACCCTAACCTACATTCCCGTCAACAATCACGTGCCCTAACCTTATTTACATCTCAGCGATCTTGACGAAAATTGAGATGGCCTTAACAAATAGATTTAGTCATGATATTGCAGTATTCAGCTACACACTACTAGGATTTGACCATAAATGTAGAGGGGCAGGGCGTGTCACACATTACTGTCACAAACCAACCGTTAAAATGTTATTATAAGATTGTACACATTAACGATGTTACCAGTCGATCTATCTAATAGCTCTAGCCTGAGAGCAATATGTCACTTTCACAACTTTCATTCTTGTTGACTAAAATCTGACGTTTAACAGGAATTGTTCAAGGGAGATAAGTCCAAGAGACAAAATGGATTCAAACGGAGGTAGCAGACCACCAAATATTCTCTCATTGACTTTAATGTTAATTCTTGAATTTCAAACAAAATGATCTATTTTTTCTTACACTTATAACTTTCAAAATGACTTTTGGTTGTTTTAGAAAGTCTAAGATGAAAAGCATTTCTTATGTAAACATTAGACATTATACAAGCAGACACATTAAAATTTGTAGCAGGTTTACTTCTGGTGTTGGCCGAGAAAGTTCATCAGGATTTTCTGACGTGATTTTCCCTTGTCAGTGGTGTAGGACGGAGGGCCTGACAAGGACAGCTGTGTAGTCATTCAGATGGGATGAAAAACTGAGGCCACATGTACAAATTGGCATGCGCGTAAAAGATCCTTTGGCAAGTGGAATTCGATATAAAAGTAAGTCTTAGCACTGCTGTCCAAGAACTATCTCCCTCATAGCCGGTCATTATTAGCCCAGCCAGAGTAGAACAGTTGGATGTTAAACCCCAGTTCATTTCATTTTTTCACATTAAAATTGGGTTAGAATTAGCACTAGCCCTGTTTACATCTCGTAATTATGCGTTTGACCTTGTCAAATAGATCTAAACCACCACCTCTAACAAATGGGACTCAGGGGCCCTTATTCACGAAAACTTAAACTAAGTTACAACCGAGATTTTAAGAAATACTGCAACTTCATTGGATATATGCAAATTGATTTTACTGGTCAGCCAATCGTATTGCAGTATTTCTTAAAATTTCGATTGTATCTTAGTTTAAGTTTTCGTGAATAAGGTCCCAGGTTTAAAAAAACCCAAAAGATTTTTTTGAACATTCCGGTTGTTATAGTCCGGTGTTCTAACCACTGAAGACCTACATTTTATGTGCTGCTGGACTACAGGTTTTTGACTGGGTTCATATAACGTTAATAGTTCATCAAACTTTTCAAGGCAAGGACAATAACTCCCTAAATAATTGGGGACAGATGTTGATGTTCCATAGGATTTATCCTCCCATTTAAGTGCTAAATGAAATCTTTTAAACGCATTACACCACACCACAAATTTCAAACGAGAATTGCAGGATTATTGCCCTCTTTAAACTTTTAACTCTAAAGAGGACAAAGCTCTCGAATAAATTGCAGATTTGTCCCTTTTTAGCTCTTTGAAATTAACTCAATGGAATTCTTTAAATTTGACCTTGTAGCAGGCACTGACAATGTTGCTTTGTGGGTGTTTGTGAGCATTTCAGAAGCCAGTTTTGTTCTTTTTTAGCTCTTTGAACTTTAACCTGATGAAATTCTTTAAAATTGGCAAGGACAAAGTTGCTGGCGGGTGTTTGCGTCTTTGCGAGACTCTCAGAAGCCATGGTTTGTGGGGTTTTTTTTATCTGTAACTAAATTCATATTTCTTTCTAATTTACAATAAAACGGTTCCATATAAAACATTTAACATGCAATGAGTATCCTTTATTATGATGATTCATTTTATAAAAATTTATAAAATATTATATACAAATCTATATTTAATATTAAATGCCTATAAACCACTTTCTAGTACATATTTTTATGATATTTAATATGAGATCAAACATTATTTCAGACTAATATATGCGATATATATATACAAACATGTTGAAAACTGAGACAATATTATAAAGAGAGAGAGAGATGGGGTTTAACGTCGACTCAGCTAGGTCATTTCGGGACTAACATACGGTTTAATTTAATTTGAATAATTTGCTTGCGCGTAGGGGTGTTCAGCACTGGTGAAAACTCAAGAGGTTGGACAGCAGGCGACCCTACCACTGGGGAATGGAAACCACGCTAGTTGACTCAATGACAGACCTTATGATGCAACGCGCACGTGCTAACCATTCGGCCATCACCTCCATCAATACTATACTAGGGCTCTTGATTCATTTCTATTTGCCAGTTTCAACTGACTGGAAATGATTATTGACCAGTCAAATTTAAATGCCATAAAATTAGAATTTCAAATAATTTAACATTACAACACACTAAAACAGTTCAAAATATCTTTAAAAATTGGAATAATGCTTAAAACTGTCAAATTCTTGGCAAACAAAAAATCTTGTTTATGCAAGATAAAGAAAATATATCAAAAATTAATCTGCTGGCAAAGTTTTGAATTTAAAGTTCTGATATACGTATAAAATTTATGTAGATCAATCTAAATGAAAGAGGAAAATGGGGTTTGAGTTCACTTGACACAAACTAGGTCATTTTGGGACTAACATATGGTTCAATTTCATTTCAATATTTCTCTTTGTACGTATGGGTCTTTAGCAGTGACGTGAAACAGGAGCACCTGGAGAAAGTCCATGAGGTCCAACAAACGAACCTACTCCTTGAAACCATGCCACTTGGCACAATGACAATCTTACTATCTAAAGCGGACACGTTAAACGATTCGGACACACATTCCCTCAGCAAACAATATACAAATGTGTGAAAATATAATAAATTAAAAACACAATCAATTCATCAGATATTACAAAGTTTTTAAAGATATAAAACATCGTAAATAATACTTAAAATTCTGTAAAATGTTTACAACAGACAGAGATGAAAACACACAAGTCTAAAGAAGTAGGCCCTTCGGCTCAATAAAATCAATACACTAAAACAAGTATTAATACAGGAGTGGCCAACCTTTTACATACCATTCGTCAATTTGTTCATACATGAATTCAGATGCACCATACAACTCTCTCCACCCACCCCAACCCCCAATATAAATGAACAAAAGTCCATCTTTCCTAAACTGAAAACAGATTGATGTGGAAAAGATAACATTTGCTAAAAGAAAGAAGAGAGCAAGAGATAAATGGGGTTTAATGTCCTCTCGACACAAGCTAGGTCATTTGGGGACTAATATATGGTTCAATTTTATTTCAATAATTTGCTTGCTGGTAGGGGTCTTTAGCAGTGGGAGAAAACCGGAGGACCTGGAGAAAACCCAAGGGGTTGGACAGGCGACCCTACTCCTTGTCACGTACGACCGGGTATTCGAAACCATGCCAGTTGACTCAATGACAGGCCTTATGATACAGCGCGCACATACTAACCATTCTGTCGAGTGGACGTTAAACCCCATTTCTCTCTCTCTCTTGTCTTAGTGCATGTGCCGGAGGTAGGCCATCCCTGAGTAAGAGGACAACTAATAAACTATAATATATTAAAATCTATAAAACAGGAAGACAGGATATTATATGAAGAGCCCCGGAGAAGAACGATCCAAGTCACTTTCTCAACGAACCCCAGTTAATGGCACCATCTGGTAGCAAATTGTATAAGCTTTCTGTGGAACAATCAATTTCAGGTAAAAAAGAGGCACATCGAACCAAGGACCTTCTGAAATGGCATCCCGGAGAAATACAAGTCCATCATATTTATTTGACCTTATTTCGGCTTAAAAGTGGAAGTCAGTTGTTGTACTGCTAATTATGTTTCGTATTAAACATCATTTTAAAGTTGTAATTAAACCCACTCGTTGTTCTGTTTGTGTCAAGCATTCTCGTCCAAAAGTCTGTTTTGCCTTTTATGCGAAAAGACATAAATGTGACTTAGATCGTTCTTCCCATGGACTCTTTATATATATCACCTTTTGTTCACTCTATATATATATATATATATATGCACATTTTTATATAAAAAAAAAACAATCTATAGAATAGGCAATTTGATTAAAATACAGATCTATATTTCGTTTCGTTTTTTTTATACTTTCGATGGCCTACACTACATGAAGATCTGACCAGTTATAGCAATAGGTCACATCAGGGGTCAAAAGACCGACTTATGTATGACCCTTTTGACGTCAGACATTTGATTAACCAATCAGCATTAATGTTACTAGTGGATTACCCACAGTTCCGTGAAAAACACGCCTACTGCAGCTCGCCGTAACAGACCGTTTAATTGGATTATCCCTGACACCATTCAGAACACGAGTTAAATAACAACTCTTCCAGATCCAAGTGTAGTAAAGACAAGTAAAACGAAATTTTGAACTATAAAAACGAAACGAAATGGAATCTGTGTTTTAACCAGATTGTAGAATAGGAAGACAAGATATTATATATATCACTCTATATACACATTTTTATAAAAAAAAAATTGGTATTAGTCAGGTCATTAAGGTTAGAAATCAATAACATTTTGACAAAAGCATGAAACTTGGCATACAACTAGTGTTTGATGTTCTATTTCAAATAAGAACTTGACGCACGTGATTTGACCTCATTTTCGACCGCCATTTTGAATTCAAAATGACTGCTCTGAACTATGGGATTTTGGCTATTTCAGCTTGACAATATGATGGAAGAAAGAATTATGGGATTTTGGCTATTTCAACATCACGATATGATGGAAGAAAGAACTAAGTGTCAAAATCTATGTTTTAGCACCTGATGAATTCATCAGAAGTATCGTACTTCTATTACTATATATTTATAGTTACCAAAAACAACAGTTCAATCTTTGGGTCACTGACATAGCAGTTAAAAAACACAACACAATTTATATGGAAAACAGTCACTAGTTTATACACATACAGCATGACGTTTCGACAAATTTGTGTTTAAACCAGTGATTGTTTTTCATATAAATTGTGTTGTGTTTTTTTTTAAGTGCTCAATTGCTAAATGCCACTCAAAGGATTATATTCGTGATAGAAGTACTTTGTTAAGCGGTGGACACACTAGTCGGATCAATTTGCGCCAAATTTTATTCGGCCGAATTGGTGGACACCGCAGGCGAATCCTTCATCCGATTCACTAGACGATTGCATCACCTTTCACGTCACATGATTAAACATGGCAGCGACCATGTCTTCAAACAATCATGTGACTTCTCGATATGATTGTATGATGAGTGGTGATAACTTTAGCCTTTAGAGCGTCACAAGATTTTGCAAAGTGATCAAGGGCCATAACTTTGGCAGTAATTATCGGAAATCAATAGGATTCTTTGTCTCATTATCTCAAACACTGTGTATAAATTTAAAGTCAATCGAATATTAACTTTAGCCTTTAGAGCGTCACAAGATTTTGCAAAGTGATCAAGTGCCATAACTTTGGCAGTAATTTTCGGAAATCTTCGTCTCATGACCTTAAACGCTGTGTATAAATTTAAAGTTAATCGGATATTAACTTTAGCTTCTAATGCGTCCACAAAATTTTTCAAAGTGATCAAGAGCCATAACTCTTGCAGTTATTATTGTAAATCGCTTGTAAATAGGCTTCTTCGTCGCATGACTTTAAACACTGTGTATAAATTTAAAGCCAATCGGATATTAACTTTGGCCTCTGGAGCGTCCAAAAGGTTTTTTGAAGTGATCAAGGGCCATAACTCTGGCAGTAATTATCGAAAATCATGACCCTAAACACTGTGTATAAATTTAAAGTCAATTGGATATTAACTTTGGCCTCTAGAGCGTCCACAAGATTTTTCAAAGTGATCAAGGGCCATAACTCTGGCAGTAATTATTGGAAATCGCTGAAAATCAATAGGCTTCTTAGTCGCATGACTTTAAACATTGTGTATAAATTTAAAGTCAATCGGATATTTACTTTAGCCTCTAAAGTGTCCACAAGATTTTTTGAAGTGATCGAGGGCCATAACTCTGGCAGTAATTATCAGAAATCGCTGAAAATCAATAGGCTTCTTTGTCTCATGACCTTAAACACTGTGTATAAATTTAAAGTCAATCGGATATTAACTTTAGCCTCTAGAGTAGAGCGTCAACAAGCAATTGTGGACACCAGACTGATGGACAGACCGACGGACGGACGGGGGCGACGACAATATACTACATTTCAATGTGTGCGTATAAAAAGGCAGCATGACCAATTTTCATTTTTGTGTAGATTTCTTAATTTAAGGTCATACAAAAAAATATTTCGGATCTCAAATACTCATGTAAATATATCATGTAAATATATTCCCTCAGTTACAGGAAGCGAAAATCTGACAAGTACACAACGCCGACAAATGTTACTGACACTAGATAATCATACATTCCTATAAGCCACATGATGAATGAGATATGTGATACTGGATAATCTTAAATTCCTCTACACCACATGATGAATGAGTTAAATGATACTGGATAATCATACATTCCTATAAACCACATGATGAGATAAATGATACTGGATAATCATACATATCTATCAACAAAATATAAGATAAATGTTACTGGATAATCATATATTCCTATAAACCACATGATGAGTTAAATGGTAAATCATACATTCCTATAAATGATACTGGATAATCATACATTCCTATAAATGGTACTGGATAATCATACATTCCTATAAATGATATTCGATAATCATACATTCCTATAAATAATACTGGATAATCATATATTCCTATAAATGATATTGGATAATCATATGTTCCTATAAATGATATTGGATAATCAAACATTCCTATAAATGATATTGGATAATCATACATTCCTATAAATGATACTGGATAATCATACATTCCTATAAATGATATTGGATAATCATACATTCCTATAAATGATACTGGATAATCAAACATTCCTATAAATGATACTGGATAATCAAACATTCCTATAAATGATATTGGATAATCATACATTCTTATACAGTCTTAAGACCAACTAGAAATCAGCCAGATTTCTTCAAGTTTGGGAATGTGACCTCAAAGATTTGTTGAAGAGAATCCTGTCATTAACCTCTCAAAGACAATAAATTGTAGCCCAATTATTATCTATTCAGATGGTGTATTGTATAAGTGTCATATTACACTACTCTATATTTAGAATGTAACACTAAAGCTAGATGGGTTTGGAATCAGATTCTATGAAATTTGAATAAGAGAATAAGAAAAACTAATCAAATTAAACACAGAAATAAACAAATTTAATAACAATTTAATAAAATTAAAAAAAATTGATTCAAATATTACATAATGTAATAATAAGCTTATTAATTTGATGTAATATCTACAGCAGCTTGTCTAAGCCAGGGTATAAAATATCTTACATTATTTTACTCATATACTTTGATATTGACCAATTTGATGTTAACCAATTAAATGATTTTGGAACTTTTTCTTGGGGAGATAAATATTCATAAGTAAAACAAGGGTTGTTGAGCACATTACGATTGTATAACTCTTGCCAATTATATATTGATTTCTATAGAAAGGGGCCAATATCGAAATATTAATGGCCTATTGATCCATCGTACAATACTATTTACGAACTTATCAATTATCAGTAAAAGAAAATTTGATCCAAAATTATCTATTTTGGTGCAAAAATATGAACATTTACTGATTATTTACATACAGGGAAAAGGTCACCCCAAAACAATCTACATGTATTTGTTATTTAAAAGAGCTAACTCGCTAATATTTAGGACCTAGAAATTGACACAAATGGTTTGCAACACAAATAATAATGTAATATGAATGTACATAAACTGATTTAGTATTTATTGCGCATGCTCTCCAGATAGGAATATGACGTAACCGTTTGAGTTACTTGTGGAATATATCTAGCCCCGTCCTTCTAGTCCCTTGTTATAAATGGCACTTAAAGGCATTCGTGAACCGATGGTAAAATGTTTATTTTGTCTTACAATCTTATGGAAGCCTATAACTACCATTTATAATTTCTACTTTTCGCCCCTTCAAAACACGAAAGTCGAAAAGTGACCTTGAAAGTAGAGACTACATCAACTTCTGAGGCGAAAAGACAACAGTACGACAGCAAGCCAAAATCAAAGGTCGCTAATATCGCCATCAATATTAGACTTTATAAACTATTTTGTTAACGCGAATTTATTGTCAATGTCAACAAAACAGTACACCTTTAATAATGTATTATAACAATATTACTTATATTCTCTGTCACCACAGGGGGATCACGTGGCTAAGTGGGTAAGACGCTAGCTTGCTAGCCTGGAGGTCGGGTGTTCGATCCCTGCATTGGCCGAGAAAGTTCATCCCGATTTTCCGGCGTGGTTCTCCCTTGTCAGTGATGCAGGACGGAGGGGCTGACAAGGAAAGCTGTCTAGTCGTTCGGATGGGATGAAAAACCGAGGTCCCGTGTACACATTGGCGTGCACGTAAAAGATCCCTTGGCAGAGTAGGCCGTAGTGCCGCTGTCCGGGCAAAATTTCCCTTATAGCACACTGTATGGCGTATGCCCGTCTTCATTAGCCCAGGTTAGGAGCAGAACAGTAGGACGTTAAAACTCCATTTCATTTCATTTCATTTCTGTCACCACAGAGTTATTGATGTGGAAATTTACACATCAAGAACTCGTAGTATTATTCTTACAATTTCTCGTACAATAGGGGCCACAAGGCAAGAAGTTAGGCCCGATATATGCGAACATCAAACCGAGATCTTTGATACATAAACATATAATATTAAGTTTTTTTCAAAACCGGATACAAATCGTTAGAGGGACCACAGCCTTCGATCCGATTATCACAAAATTCAAACCCAGGGTGTAACGGTGTATATTTAAACGGTTTTTAAAATCGGGTATAAACTGTAATTTTTGGTACACCCGGGGTCCATAATCTAGGAGGTTACGGACCGATATGTGCGAATATGGAAAGAAACAAAAATCCGTGGAATATAGACATATATTTTAAGTTTGATCAAAATCGGATAAAAAAAATTGTGACTTCTACAGTGTCCACAACCTTGGTATTATATACTTTTATACTATTTGCGAACGAGGAGCGGGCAGTTTCAATCCGATTTTCATGAAATTCGAACTCAACCATCATAAGGGTGGAATGGTGATGTGTTAGAACAGCTTTTAATATTGGATAAAATGTCAATATCAAAAGGAACCGCGTGTCCACAAATAAATTGTGGGCTGACAGGGGCGACTCAATACACGTCCACTTGAAAATATGGGCGTACAAAAATAGCTCAGCATGATAAAACTTGGTTTTTGGAAGACTAAACAACTGATATCAAAGACTTTATATGAAATGAGATTTTTATTTTAGAAATTAAAATGTTAAGTTATTTGATACTCCCACTGGCAGGTTAATAGTTGTCAACGCTTATGTAATTTATATTAGGGCAACACTACTCAAGACGGACATGTTGTTTAGATCAGCATACCAAGCAATTAAAATCAGTGAACCGGACCAAACCCAAACATCCAAAATTTAGCACTTTTTCCTAGATAGTCCTAGCACTGTATAAACCACATGATGAGATAAATTTAGGAGGACCTTGAAATGTGGTCTGAGAATTTATTTAGCCCAGTAGTGACTTGATCCTATGACAAAATAAAAACACAAATATAAAAATCTCCCATAAATCTGATTAAAATACAGATCTATATTTTGTTTCGTTTTTTTTATACTTTCGATGGCCTACACTACATGAAGATCTGAACTGTTGTAGTGGAAGGTCATGTCAGGGGTCGTACGAACAGCTTTTAACCCTATGACGTCGGACATTGATTAATCAATCAGCGTTGACGTTTCTAGTGGTTTACCAACAGTTCCGTGCATCGCACGACAAGAAGTTTTCATTCCGTAATACATCGTTTCATTGGCTAATCCCTCACTTCAACCGAACACGGGAACACAACTCTTCCAGATCCTAGTGTTGTGAAGACAAGTTAAAGTTGCAATTTCATATTTTTAAGTTATATTTTTAAAATTTATTAAAATAAAGCCTTAAAATAGATGGTATCTATAAACAGTCCTACCTTGTTAAAGAATAATCCTATTAATCCTAAAATAATTCACTATTGCCAGTTGAGAAATTTCATCTTCAAATTCAAACGTTTGAAGGTAACTACTCCATGGTGGAGAATAGAAAACAAGGGAGGTAATTGTGTTATTATTTCCGGGGTAAATGAGTTTTAAGTGTGAGAATGACACCTATGTTCGTATAATAGTGAGTTGACAACCTATTGAGCAAAAGACATAAAAATAATTATGTTTTGACTTTCTTAGAAAATATGAAATTGTAACTTTAAATGAAATTTTGAACAATAAAAAACAAAACGAAATAGGATCTGTGTTTTAATCAGATTTTTGGGAAGGATTGTGTAAGAACCAGAATATTTTTTTTGTATGCCCTAAACATCAGTTAATGCATTTCTTTAAACGATTCCTCAAGGATGGACTTTACATCATATTTAATATTATGGTCTATAAAATGTCTGAGTGTTTTGGCCATTTTACCGTGTAATTCCCATTCAGACTGCCAATTCATATCGTCAATCTGTTTATTACCATCAAAACTAAACTTGGTCGGCTTAGGGCAGCCGTAATGTTCAAAGGTAGCCATATGATTTTTCTGTCGTCTTCCCCGTTTTTTGCGTTGAATATTTTCGTGCACTCTTTTACAAACAAAGCACTCAAATCCATCGATGAAGTTGATGGCTGTTGGAGACCAACTACCCCCACTATCGATGGACCATTCTCTGTTTTTCAGAATTTTTAATAATATTGGGTTCGTTACTCCAGTTTTTTTCCATTCTAAATATTTATTGTATTCGTCGTCGTTATTATCGAGGTATTTTAGGTAAGCTGCCAATTCCTTTACAGATTTAAAGTCATTTATAATAATTGCTGAATGATTTGATGGCAAGAGATCCTGAAATCATAAATTTGTTGACATGTTTCAATTGGCAAGTACTCTCAATTTGTCAGTAATTATAATTAATAAAAAAATATAGCACAATGTTTTAAACATACATTACGCAAGAGCTAAATTTGCCTATTACCGGTCTTTCTTTAGGCCTGAAATGTTATCTAAATTATTGATTAGACATTAATTAACTTATCCAGACCATAATCAACTCTCGATGCCACAGCTAGCCTGCAATATTTAGCGGATTGAATATATTTTTCGAAAAAAAAAATTAAACGTAAAAATGGATAATCTAGGCTTTGTTTTTTATCATACCGACTTTAGTAATGATGATCGAGGCTAGCCTAAAATTCAAAAGCTCATGTCTCGGTTCAAAGTGGAAAGATTTGACTGAAATTTTCAGCATATTTTATTTACGCTATATATTTGATAACTATTACAGCGAGAACTGCCAGCTCTTTATCTAATCTTCCACAATGCCCCTTTAAGTAGTTTGTTCATAATCATAGAAATCTCTTTGAAATTTATAACAACTCACACAGTAGTTACTAGAGACGTTTTCTTACCAGTATATATGTCATGTTATATATATCTAGGTTGAAAAACAATTGTATTCTTTCTACCATGTTCATGATGGACTGGATTCAGGGTAAATTTGTTCATTTGACAGGTGGAGTTATTTCCCCTTTTCCCACAGGATTTCAGAAACCAAATCAAAATGAAATGGGGTTTTCGTCCAACTGTTCTGCTCCTATACTGGGCTAATGAAGATGGGCATACGCCATACAGTGTGCTATGAAGGAAATTTTGCCGGGCAACGGCACTCTGGCCTACGCTTATATCAATTCCAAATGCCAGGGGATCTTTTACATGCACACCAATGTATACACGGGTCCTCGGCTTTTCGTCCCATCCGAAGGACTAGACAGCTGTCCCTTCGTCCTGCACCACTGACAAGGGGAAACTACGTCGGAAAATCCTGATGAACTAAGACCAAATCAAAATACACTATATTTTAAATATTTATTATTTACCCTGACGGTTGGAGAACCATACACTATAGGTACAGATCCCACCATTAATGGTCTCCATAGCTTTTCTGTTACATAATCTGGACACACACCATTCTCCATCGCCAATGAAAACTTATATTTCGCTACTAATTTGTAAAAGTCGACATGATCCATACCTTTGATGGGGTCACTTAGGCTAAAATTTCAAATAAGAAAAGTCTGAGTTATAAACAACCATTTTAAGAAAAGGAAAGAGATGAAGGTTAACATTCATGTACCATCCACAGTTAGTGGTGCAATAAAATGAAATGGGGTTTACCACACTACTGTTCTGCTCCCACTCGGCTAATGAAGATGGGCATAGCTATACAGTGTGCTATGACGGAAAGTTTGCCCGGGGAAAGCGACACTATGGCCTACTTTTATATAGAATTCCAACTGCTAAGGGATCTTTTCGTATATATTAAACATACATTATACAAGAGCTAAATCTGCCTATTGCAGGTCTTTCTTTAGGCCTGAAATGTTATCTAAATTATTAATTAGACATTAATTAACTTATCCAGACCATAATCAACTCTCGATGTCATCAGATTTCTCAGATATTATATAGATTAGAACAGTTCAGCCATATTTTGATTTAAGCTAAAAATGGAGGAGTGAGACTTAGCTTCGAACAACCAGTACGGTGGTTGAAATTATTGCACATGTCTGTCAAACCTTCAAAAGCTAATATCTTCGCTCGCAATAGAGTAATTTGAATGAAATTTTCAAATTATTCATTTTACATTATCTATTTTCGAACTATGATAGCAAGAATGGCTAGCTCTTTATCTAAATCTTACATAATGTATCTTTACAGATTATGGCCTCACACACCTATCAATAATAGTATACTGTACTTACTGATCTGGAATATTTTTATTGTGTAAACACTTTCCATAGGCATCCACCTGAACTAAATCCATGAGTATTTTAACGTAACTGTCTCTGTCCGATGGTGGATCACAATCTGAATGAGTATATATTATCGATCCTAACTCGGCCTGCCATTCATTCTTCTCTTTCACGGGAACAACGTATTTCATACTCTGTAACCAATCTAAGCTAATCAGATACTGAGTTGTGATTGGGTAATCAGATTCGCGACGAAATGTACATGTATGGTTAAACATGGTCATGACGTCTGCATGAGAAAAATAATAACTATTTTTTGGAGATTCTTCATGAAACAAGGCCCATTCATGATGAGGTAGTCTAGGTAACGGAAGATCGTCCATTTTCATATCCGAGCCATAGAACATAAACACCTATAAAAACAAGATAATAATAAAATGAAATGGGGTTTAACGTCCTACTAATAGCAAGAGATAGAAAGAGAGAGAGAAATGGGGTTTAATGTCTACTCGACACAAACTAGGTCATTTCGGGACTAACATATGGTTTAATTTGATTTCAATAATTCGCTTGCGCGTAGGGGTCTTTACCAGTGGGAGGAAAACGGAGGACCCAGAGAAAACCCACGAGGCTGGACAGGCGACCATGCTCCTTGTCACATACAACCTACTAATAGCAATAAAGATGGGCGTACACCATGAGAGGGACTTTTCTATGCCACTGAGAAAGTTTTGACAGCTGTCTAGTCATTTGGATGGTAAGAAAAACTGAGGTCCCGTGTACACATTGGCATGCACGTGAAAGAGTAGGCTGTAGTGCCGCTATCCGGTCAAATTTTCCTCATAGCACACTGTATGGCGTATGCCGGTCTTCATTAGCCCAGTTCGGAGCAAAACAGTAGGACGTTAAACTCCATTTCTACGCCTAACTCTTTATTTCGAATTCCAACTGTCAAGGGTTCTTGCATGTTCACAGCAACATGTGCACAGCTCCTTGTTTTTTCGTCCCATCTGAAGAACAAGACACAGCTCCTTGTCAGGTCCTATCTGTCCTACACCACTGACAAGAGGAAACCAGGACAGAAAATCATGAGGAACTTTCTCGACCAACACCAGGAGTGAACCTGAGACCGCCTGGTTAGCGAGCCAGTGTAATACTCACTGAGCCACTGCGGCTCTCAAGATATTAAAGATAGGTTCCCAGAAAAGTATTTATCAGGTGGTTATTTCCAATTAGAAATATCTGCATGCATGACGTCAACAGTTGCACGCTGAGATTGAGTGCTTGATGTACATGTTAATAAACTTTATCAAGCGTTAGAAGTACAACACTTTCTGAGATAAAAATCACACAGAAAGACGCTGCCAGTGGATAATCCGAGAATTTAATTAGGATTTGATATTTGTAATAAATAGTCAGCGATTAAAGACAACATCGTCTTGTGTATGCAATGAATTCTCCTCCGACTTCGCACCTGTTGCTAGGTACCGAGAGAGGTAAGTCACGTGACACAAACATGACCTCTTTTGATCGATTTTTTATAGCAGGGGCATTCCTTGGCAATTACAATATTCTGAGAAGGATTTGAAGCAAAATTATGATAAATTAATTAGTTTGAATATGTTTTTAGTCCAAATATATCATCAAATCACCCAGTTTGTACGCGGGAATGTATCTTTAAGATATTAAGTGTCACTCCACGAGAAAACCATGCAAAATCCTGCAAAAGTGATAAGGTGGGGGGTCGGCACTTCGGATCCATATTCACAGTGATTAATCAGTCCGACTAGACTACTCGTTGACCAAAAGGGCCGATCTAAAAAATTAACCGTTCGGGAGATATGGCCCTATAACGATTTTCAGCCTATTTTCACCGATTTTGAGTCAAAATTTAAGCATATTTAGAGTCATTTTTTCAGGCCAAAATAGGGACTGCGTGATATACTGATGGTAGGTGATGATAGTATATGTCTTCGACTATTCAAGCATCATGACCAATTTATGTTGCTCCATGTCTCTGAGACATAGTATGGAAACCACTAATAGGTGTCGCCCATCACCTTGAAAGTACCCTATCTTTGAAATTAAATATAGCCGATGGTACGGGTATGGGCAAGATGGGTAAACGGTAATTATGTAGAGGGGTACTAGTGCTACCAAAATCAACAATAAAATTTTTGCCCACTCTTGTCCCATTATCAGAAATAATTTTTAAAGTTACCCCTTTTTCGAAATTTTGACCGATAGTTAATTGGTTGTTCACTATATATGCGCATAGTTTAATCGCCATATCGACCATAAATTTGCTCGAATCTGCTCGAATGAACTAGAAATGTTTGATAGAATGACTCCTGTATCAGGGGGAACTGTCAATTTTTTTTTCCGATATCACTTATTCACTGTTTCTGAAATTTTCGCATATTGACTATAAATCTTCATGATACGATTTCATGGGTTTGGTGACCAAAAGTACCTTTATGCATTATCAAAAATTATTTTGACGGATACCCCCTGTCTCTACCTAGTCCTAAAGCGGCGGAAGCTTTATAATGATCAGACCAATAGACGAAATTTTATCAAAAAAATTAAGTAAGTGAATCAGTAATTATACACAAATGTAACAATTAAGTAAGTGAATCAGTAATTATACAAGAACGTAACATTTCTTATAATGTATAATGAATGACTTTAAAATAACATAAAAATGGTTTTCTTGTACAACATAAATATTTTTGCGATATCTATTCTGCGTAGACTCTGGACAAGACATCAATAAATTTCTGAAACGTACGATTTATATCAAATAGGCAAATTTAATGTTTGGCCTTCATATGAAGTTACGTTGCAAGATATTATCCTCGAAGAGTTGATCCGATACGATCCTCGAAGAGTTGTGATTCTTATAGTTCACACTGTTCAATAATTTGAGAACGAAGTTTCCTTCTCGAAACTAGATCTAAGGCAGGTTCTTCATTAATTGTGTCATGTTCAACCTGCCCGAGTGGATGACCGCACGTGGTTCCCTTTGTCCGTGGTGCAGGACGAAGGGCCTGGCATGGAACCATGCATAATCTTTTAAATGTACACAGTGGTCCAATGTACACATTGGCGTGCACGTAAAAGATCCCTTGACAGTTGGAATTTGATGTAAGAGTAGGTCGTAGCACCGCTGCCCCGGGTCAATAAAAACAAAAAAACAAAAGCACACTGTATGGCGTATGCCCATTTTAAATAGCCTAGTCCTTTTGCATTTCATATCCCTTGCTGAATAGTTCATAATTCGTTTTGCAAAACGAAATAAAATGGGGTTTAACGTCCTACTGTTCTGCTCTCACTGGGCTAAGGAAGACGGGCATACGCCATACAGTGTGCTATGAGGGTAATTCCAACTGCCAAGGGATCTTTTATATGCACGCCAATGTATACATGGGGCTTCGGTTTTTTGTCCCATTCGAATGACTATACAGCTGTCCTTTTCAGACCCTCTCCGTCCTGCACCACTGACAAGTTGGAACCACGCCAGAAAATCCTGATGATCTTTCTTGGCTAATGCAGGGATCGAACATGCGACCTTCAGACTAGTGAGCCAGCGTCTCACCCACTTAGCTACAATTCGCTTACTAGAAGATTAATCTATTTGGTGCATGTCATGCAACCTTTTAACCTACCTGAGTTTTAGGATGATCTTTAAGATGTCTGTTTACAGAGAAAAAACATTTATTATCTCCGCAAGTTTTATATCTTCCCTTTTCTCCAGTAAATGGTGTCCACCATAATATAATAGGTTGATTAATTTTATCTGGTTTTAGAGCTAATAATTCCATTTCATCATGTAGAGGTATACGAGGTTCTTAAAGTAAAAAAAACAAGCGGTTGCCATGCAAGAAACGCCCACATTTTGCAAGAGATGGACAGATAAGCTAAAAATAGTGATTTTTTGTGCAATCAGGGGCCATAATTCAGGACATAATTTTGGGATATAAACACAAATTTTTTGCATTAGTACAGCAGTGTTGCGTGTGGATTTATCGGCGATCATGTTTGATCGGACTCCCTTTTCTACTTCCATCACTTTTACACAGAAGACCTAGCGGTTAACCGTCCCTACTGTGTCCACATGGAACTTCCTACTTTCTATTAGGGTTAGGAATAGGGTTAGGGTCAGGTATTTCAGATTAAAACCTATAACACAAAATGAATGTCGATTTATCATGTATGAATTCTTATTTACACTTTGTTTCAATAAAACACAATCTTTCAGAGAGAGAGAGAGAGAGAGAGAAATGGGGTTTAACGTCTACTCGACACAGACTAGGCCATTTCGGGAATAACATATGGTTTAATTTTATTTCAATAATTCACTTGCGCGTAGTGTGTCTTTAGCAGTGGGAGGTAAACCGAGGACCCGGAAAAAACCCACGAGGTAGGACAGGCAACCATATTCCTTGTCAAATACATCCAGGGATTTGAAACCACAGCAGTTGACTCAATGACGGGCTTTATGATACAGCGCACACATGCTAACCATTCGGCCATTCATCCCCCCATGATTTTTCAGAGAATATTTTTGAAGAAATGGCGATAATCTAGGGACAAACAATATATTGGATTATTGCAGTATTTTTAAACGGTCAATAAATTATTGTCAATAAAATTTACACATTGAGATATATTGATTTATTGAAATTATTGTCCAGCCCTAGATAAGTTATAATGTTCCAAAAACCATTGACCAGACAGATTTTAATTGCTGTCTGCTTTTTTCAAAAGGTGGGGGATAAATATTAAGGGCTACTGTGTTTCAAATGCCTCAAAGAACCTATTTGTAGACAGACAAACTAATTTTAATTGCTCTTTCGCTTTTTTCGAAAGGTGGGGGACAACAATTCAGGGCTACTATGTTTCAAATGCCTCAAAGAATCTATTTGTAGGCTATAAGCTTGTCCGATCAAAGCAAAATGCATTGCAACAATAGGACTGTGTATGGCCTTGTATAATATGTGACCCGCTCCCACGAAACCAGGAGCTTGTCGTACAACTTCATTTTGTACTACGGGAACCAAAGCATAAACTGTATGTCTTTTTGTTGCTGTGATTGAGCCGAACTCAACTTCTGATATGACAAATTTGAAAAGAATTGCATTTTTGGAAAGCCTATGCTGTGGACTATTCAAATATGCTGCCAGCTCTATTTTTATAAAAATGATCAAGAGTCTGGTTTTGTGGGAGCAGGTCACACAAGTCATTGAAGTCATATAGTATGTAGGCCTTGTAATATATATATATAGTCACAAGTCATATAGCCTGTATATTTACCCTCTCCATAATCAATGTAATCATCATCCATTTCCTTGTCTTCATCTTCTGACAGAAACTATCGTACAAAACACAAGAGAAAAGTTAAAGATACATTATGGGAGATTAGATAAAGAGCTGGCAGTTCTCACTATAATAGTTAAAAACTAGATAATGTATAGGCAATTTGCTGAAAATTTCAGTTGAATTGATCCACTACGAACTGAGAATTAAGCGATTGAAATTTCGACCTTACTAAAGTCGGTCCGATAAAAAAAAAACATAGTCTCAATTATCTATTTCATGATTAAATCACGAATGGAACTCGAACAGCAAATCAGATCATAATCCAATATGCCATGATTTCTGGATAAGTTAATTAATATCTAATTAATAATTTAGATAACATTTCAGACCTAAAGAAAGACCTGCAATATTAGGCAGATTTAGCTCTTGCATAACGCATGTTTAAGATGCATTACTTCGTGTGTGAACACTACCTAGTACACACTTAGGAATAAAAATTATCTGCATTTTTATTCATAATACTAATAGTTTCTATTATTATCTTGTGTATTTAAGTCAATAACAGATTCAATGGCACAGATTAGGTACGTAGTAAATGCATAGAACCGACCAACACAAAAAAATATTGTCAACTTGCAAGTGATCAAATTGAATGCAGAAAGCATTAACGACCTACACATGCACAGGCCTGATCGGTGAATCAAAATATTACCGGGTAGGCATAAGTAATCATAATGACAATGTATCCATCGGCATCAACAAGGAAGGTAATTTTTCAGTTCAAATGTGTAATTTTCAACATATAAATTTACCTGGAATCCTATGAGAACAAATGAAATTAAAGCAATTAAGAATAGTATAAGAAAATATCGAAACACTCGACGGGAGGACACCATTGCATTTCATCCATGAGTTGTTTGATCGTATCACTTTGTTCACGTTGACAGTAGTAAATTTAGTAACCGAAAGAAAACTAGTGCGCATGTCATACCGGAATTTTCAATTTGCTTCCTAATTCGGAATCAGACCACTATTAAATTTTAGTATTTTGTATTTATCCCCCCTTACAAAGCAGCATTTTAGTGTGTATTGATCTATGTTAATAATGTGTGTTTGTTCTATTGTGGCTATTCTTTCATTTTGTTATTGTATGCTGCTCCACGTGCAATAAACTTACTTATTTTATCTCATTTGCATTCTAATTTTCGTTGATCCTTAGTTTAGGTGTAGAATTGAAGAAATGGTTTAAAATTTATATTTTTCTACAAGTTTTGGTTGTATATTTATAATTGTATCATGGACGGGACATCTTCTTTAAGATCTCGGCCTATATTATAAGATATAGGATAAATTATATAATAATATGTTGCTAATCAAATAAAATCGCACTTTTTATTTCATTTTCAACATTAAGAAAAGCTATCGTCTAATGACCAATTTTGACCTCATCTGCATCGTAAAGGACAGACAAAATGAATATTATCATATTTTAACTAAATATTGTCTGAAATCAGGATAAATTGGCAGAAAATCTTTAGATAGCCCTAAGTGAAATTTGGCCCTGACAACGGCACAAGGCCTACTCTTAACTCGAATTCCTACTGCGAAGGATTCTATTAAGTTCACTGCAAGGTGTATACTTTTGGACCCTGTCCCACAACAACGAATAGACATACCACTTATAGAGAGAACCACGCTTGGGAAATTCCCGCGGGAGGGCTTCCTGCAGTAACACAGGGATCTAACCTTGACCCCTGTGTATTGTTGTCTTTTTGAACCAGATGTCATTATGTCTATTAAACAGGGCCATTAAGATGAATAAAAATCGATGTGGCAAGAACACCGATTTTAAACAACCATAAAAAAAACATCTGTTACGTTCATTAAGATTTGACAACACCAAACATACCGGGATATTTATACCAGCCCCCAACCACCACAAAATCCAGCATGAACATAAATTCTATTTCATATAGCGCCTACCCTACTTTTCGATCCATGACGACGGGTTGATAAGCGAGTGGTGATGCCCCCCCCCCCAACCCCACCGTAGTAACGGAATATTTATTTACCCGCCCCCAACCACAACAAAATCCAACATGAAAATAAACTTTATTTTATATATCGCCTACCCTACTTTTCGATCCATGACCCCCCCCCCCCTCCACCGTAACGGGATATTTTCCAGCCCCCAACCACCACAAAATCCAGCATGAACATAAATTTTGTTTGATATATCGCCTATCCTACTTTTCGATCCAAGACCAGGAAGTGAGTATGACGTCATCGCTGCCATCTTAGACGTCATATCAATAACCGAAGTTTGGGAATCAATTCGCAATTATCCAAGTTTCGTTCATGAATTGGCGGCGCCTTAGGCATTTTTTTTTGAAAAGCGTCGTCCTAAAGAACAACAACATCAACAACTTTTTCCGCCCCTAGGAATTATCATTTTAAACGGATCCTTCCAATATTTCTGTATCTCCGCTTGACGACGAGAGCATCCCCTTGAAACGTTTATATCGGTATTGGCCGATTATCACAAATTTTCTAGACAATCTAATTTTCCAACCCCGACTTATAATCAAATCACATCAACAAGATTTTGTTTTTTATCCATCGACAAAGATCTTCAATCTTGTAAAACGTTTTTAAAAATGTAGCAGCCGTTCGATGTTCGATTTTCTATTACTTATACATGAGAACCAAATGGCCTCATGAACATTTCTAAATGGATGTCGGGTCAGCTGGAAAATGAGATTTTGATCAATCAATAGGTTTTGAACTACATTTAATTTTTTTACACCAAAGCATGCATGTATCCATTTGCACATAATATAGATGGAGATGAACAGGTAGGTCATAGTTAGAAAATACAGATGTTTATGCTATATTCTGTCTGTAGAGTTACGCATGATAAAATGAACAAGTTAGCATTACCAAAAGAGTTTTATTTTCAATCTTTTGAACCAGTCAGTGAGAGTGATCTTAAAGTCTCGTTGCATTATCTTAGCGCAAACGTAATTCTCTTACAGAGATATCGGCCTAAATATGGTATTTAGAATCTTTTGAAGCAGTCAGTGAACATGATCTTCAAGCCTCAGTGCGCCATTTTAGCACAACAAGAATCCCATGCAAACTACAATATTGTGTATACAGGTTACTATGGAACACAATTACTGCTTATTACTGAGCGACGTTTCGATTAGGCTTCTCTAGTCATTGCTTGATAATGAATAGAGAAGCCTAGTCGAAACGTCGCTTAGTAATAAGCATTAATTGTATTCCATAGAATTGTGATCTGTATACTCAAATTCAATTACTAAATGTCATTGAAACAATTTACAATATTGTGAAAGGTGAATCTCTAATAATATCGGTCCAAAACAGTTCAATGCAGTTCAGTATTTATATTTACAAAGATATGTTAAATTCGAATTTCATCGATCTATGCTACTCTCTATGTCATTACGTTGTGGGCGAACCGAATTGATAGGCCAACGCCTGTCCAACCTCGTGGGTTTTCTCCGGGTCCTCTGGTTTCCTCCCACTGCTAAAGACCCCTACGCGCAAGTGAATTATTGAAATAAAATTAAACCATATGTTAGTCCCGAAATGACCTAGTTTGTGTCGAGTGAACGTTAAACCCGATCTCTCTCTCTCTCTCTCTCTCCGATCGCCGATACCTTGGGATAAAGTTAGAAACCCTATTTTTGCATACCCCAAAATGTGGTCCATAATATATCAATCTTCTAGATAAACCTCAGTTCATAAAGACCGACTATACTTCAAAATTATTATACACCCTACATAATTTTTGGAATACTGAACGGGAACACATTTAAAAGCTCCTATCGTGTTACACAAAACGTCGACTTACGTCGTATACGTATATGATTCACACAACTGTTCAAGCCATTATGGAGTAGACAAGCAGGAAACATTCTTTTCTTATACAGGAGACAAAAATACAAACGTGGCTATGATGGTAGTGTAGATCTAATATAGATAAGTCCTACATAAACATATGTATAATTATAGGTTAAAGAATAAGTTACACAGTGTACATGTATATCTTCTATAAGACTGGGCTGTTTATTTTGAAAACGTGTGCATCTTTACAATGTGAGCATTGCATGGAACTCTGTAGAATACACGATGCATTATGCGTGATGGAATTTAATGTTTGTTTGTGTGTGGGAAAATGAATTCCGGAAGTTGGACGCCTTTCTATTTAAAATATGGTTTCGTGGAGTTATTACGTTTATAGAAGGTATGGTATGTAACAATATCTAGTGAATTGATAAGTCTGGTATATTAATAAAACATCGCACTCCCATTTTTGTGTTCTTAAATAGCTGACTCTAACCTTAACCCTAATTCCTATAACCCTAATAGAACGTAGGAAGTTCCATGTGGACACAGTACGGACGGTCAACTGCTAGTTATTCAGTGTAAAAGTGATGGAAATAGAAAAGGGTGTCGGATCAAACATGATCGCCAAACATTGCAATACCCATCACCCCATCCAGATATTCCTCTGCCATCGTTATTCGCATATAGTGTAGAAATCGTTTGAAAGCTAAAAATAGAACTTCTAATTTACCATGATATATGAACGTATTTAAATCAACAATCTGGTATTTGACAAAGCGGGGTGTGGGGAGGGGGGGGGGGTCACGGTGGGTAAGTGGGGAAGACGCTGGCTCGCTAGGTTGGAGGTCGGGTGTTCGAACACTTCATTGGCCGAGAAAGTTCATCCAGATTTTCCGGCGTACGTGGCTTCCCCTTGTCAATGATGCAGGGCGGTGGGCCTGACAAGACAGCTGTCTAGTCGTTCGTGCCCGTGTACACATTGGCGTGCACGTAAAAGATCCATTGACAGTTGGAATTCGATATAAGAGTAGGCCATAGTGCCGCTGTCCGGGCAAAATTTCCCTCATAGCACACTGTATGGCGTATGCCCGTCTTCATTAGCCCAGTTCGGAGCAAACAAAACAGTGGGACGTTAAACCCTATTTCATTTCATTTCATCAAGCATATACACAAATAGTGTATATGTTTGAATCTGGTTAAATCTGGTTGAAACATCGCAGTGAAATAAACCATAGTTATTCCATAAAAGTGTGTTATTTGACAACTCAACTTTGCTCAACCTAATTGCAAGAAGCATAGGCTGATAAACATTATAATTTTCGGTTTGCCTAGAACTCCTTTCAGGAATTATGTTCACCACCTTTGACATTTGACTTTCTGATAAATGGAAAACACAAAGTGTTAAATTCATGGAAGTCGTTAAAATATATATATAAACGGATGTTTGAACAACCTCATCAAAATAAAAAAAAACCCCGAAAAACGCCAAAAATAAATTAATTATTGGACAAAATATTTTATTAATGTATTTGTTTTTACAGGTTAACCAAGGTGAAGGGTTTGTTGTTGTTTTTGGCGGGAATATGTTGCATATTATTATGGTATAACAAATATTACAGTAAAGGTAAATAACATTAAAATATTGATCATTTAAAATTAGAATACACGTAATATTTCGTCATGGCCGAGGATTGTAAGTAAGGGTTAGGATTAGCGCTAGCCATGATTACATCTAGTGACCATGAATAAATCTGCAGGTGGCCTTAATATTTAGATCTAACACGGAACCACCGGACATTGTAAGTCATGCACAAGAGGACCGTGAAACCAAATGAATGGTCGTTTGTACGGTATGCATAAGTAAACTTGAACAGAATATCTTTCTGCACACAGAGATCCAATTAATTCATACTTCGAGAATAGATCTCTGCTCTAAAATTATAATACAGTGTTGTAATGCGGTTCTACCTCGTTTATATATCTGCCATACGCACAAAGACTAATTAAAAATTTCCAGTTATTACATGGAAGCAAAATAACTACTTAACAAAATTCTCGAAGTATACTTATAATGTTTTCGACTAAAATCGACGATTTAGGACGTAAAATGTCGATCAACTAGCTTAGTGTCTGTTCTTAAGCCGAATTAATTGTAGACTGACAGACTTACTTTAATATGTATCTTTCCTTGTCCTTAATTATTTCTATGTCTTTTGCTCAATAGGTTATCAACTCACTATTATACGATCATAGGTATCATTCTCACACTTAAAAATCATTCACACCGGAAATAAGAACACAATTACCTCCCTTGTTTTCATATTCCCCACCATGGAATAGCTATCTTCAAACGTTTGAATTTGAAGTTGAAAATGGTATTTTTGCCAATTTCTCAACTGACAATAGTGAATTATAGGATTAATAGGATTATTCTTTAACAAGGTAGGACTGTTTATATATAGATACCATCTGTTTTAAGGGGGGTTGGATGGCCGAATCGTTAGCACGTGCGTGCTGTATCATAAGGCCTGTCATTGAGTCAACTGGCGTGGTTTCGAATCCCCGGTTGTACGTGACAAGGAGTAGGATCTCCTGTCCAACTTCGTGGGCTTTCTCCGGTTACTCCGGTTTCCTCCCACTGCTAAAGACCCCTACGCACAAGTCCCGAAATGACCTAGTTTGTGCCGAGTGGACGTTAAACCTCTCTCTCTCTCTCTCTCTCTCTCTCTCTCTCTCTCTATCTGTTTTAAGGCTTTATTATAATACATTTTAAAAATATATGAAATTGTAACTTTAATAAAGACCAAAGAAATGTCAAATTAATTGAATATCATATTCACAATAACTGTGGATTCTCGTGATTTATGGTCTGTCATTGAGTCAACTGACGTGGTTTCGGTTCCCCGGTTGTACCTGACAAGGAGTAGGGTCGCCTGTCCAACCTCGTGAGTTTTCTCCCACTGCTAAAGGCAACGTAATTATTGAAATAAAATTGAACCATATGTTAGTCCCAAAATGACCCCTCTCTAACTGCTATACCGTTTAAATTTAATTGTAGATGGACCAAGAGATATTTTATACACATTACCAAGTGACATGGCCAGTAAATCCACAATACCTCTTATATTACGCTGGGAACCAATATCCGGTGAAGGAGAAGGGAAGATAACTTGTGGTCAAGATGTTTGTGAAGTGACATCTAATAAAAGTAGAAAGGCAGAACAGAGTATTATGGTACACGTATGATTTTAGTGTAGTTTTGAAAAAGTGAGGCGCTCTTGGATCACTCGGTGAACCTCAGCAGATTTCAGTACCCTACATCTAGCCTCGGCTGTATGACGAAGTCCGCCATTGGAACCACTTTCAAGTTCCCGGATTACCAACGGCGTTGCTCATAACGACGCCTTTGAAAAATGTTTTATCATACAAATATTTAAAAGTCTGAAGCTGTTTTTCTTTCAAGTTTATCCGATTTTCTTCAAACAAGGACAACTTTGCACTAAAAATTCTACACACGCTTCGAACGACGCAATTTTGATAACTTCTTTTTAAAAGCGTCAAGTTTTCATAATACGTAAACCGGTGCTGTATCGCAATTGTATAGGCGTAGGTACATATCACTTACCGTCATACAACCGTAGGAGCCACGGTGGCTAGGTGGTTAGACGCTGGCTCGCTAGCCTGGGGGTCACGTGTTCGATCCCTGCATTGGCCGAGAAAGTTCATCGGGATTTTTCGACGTGGTTTCCCCTTGTCAGTGGTGCAGAACGGGGGGCTGTCTAGTCCTTCGGAGGGACGACAAACTGAGGTCCCGTGTATATATTGCCATTGGAATGCACGCAAAAGATCCCTTGGCAGTTGGAATTCGATATAAGAGTAGGCCATAGTGCTGCTGCCCGCGCAAAATTTCCCTCGTAGCACACTGTATGGCGCATGCCCGTCTTCATTAGCCCAGTGTAGGAGCAGAACAGTAGGACGTTAAACCCCATTTCATTTCATTTCATGTCATACAGCCGAGGCTAGATGTAGAGTAACGGAATCTGCCGAGGTTTGCCGAGTGGCTTATGGATGGTCATCCTGGCGAGATCTACGAAATATTAATAACAGGAAAATTATTAGTCTGATTAAAACACAGATCCTATTTCGTTTCGTTTTTTTATATAGTTCAAAATTTCGTTTGATATGCGTGTAAAACTTGAGTTAATTAGAACATATCCGGTGTTGGGGTTTGCTCGACATCTTATTTTTTTCCTTTTTTGCAAGTGGATATCAATTTAACATTCTAGCAAGTAAATGTAAATTTGAAATTCTTGCAAGTAAATGTAGATTTGACATTCATGCAAGTTATGGTAAATTTGAAATTCTTGCAAGTAAATGTAGATTTGACATTCATGCAAGTAAAGGTAAATTTGAAATTCTTGCAAGTAAATGTAGATTTGACATTCTTGCAAGTAGCTGTAAATTTGACATCTTGCAAGTAAATAAATGTAAATTGCTGGGTCAGCACATAGCATACAGTACAAAAGGTCACAGTACGATTTAAATAGAAAAAGTAAAAAAAAAACAACCAAAAACAAACCCAAAACATGCTCGATGGTTTATATATTAAAACACGATTGTGGTTATTGAAAGGGACTCGAGCAGAAATTACATAAAAACAATAAATAAGAAAAATAAGGTGATGGCAAAATCACTTTTTAGCTGTTATAAAAATAGACACGTACAGTATAGTCGATACGGTTAGGTCTAATCTCGTGTACAAGAAAGCACAGAGAATCCAGTGTCTAATATATATCAGTTGTATCCATCCAAATCCATCATCGTTCAGTTTAAAGTTACAATTTCATATTTTCTAAGAAAGTCAAAACATAATTATTTCTATGTCTTTTGCTCAATAGGTTGTCAACTCACTATTATACGATCATAGGTTATCTTTCTCACACTTACAAATCTTCACACCGGAAATAATAACACAATTACCTCCCAATTAAAACCCTTGTTTTCCTATTCCCCACCATAGATTAGCTATCTTCAAACGTTTGAATTTGAAGTTCAAAGTGATATTTTTGCCAATTTCTCAACTGGCAATAGTGAATTATAGGATTAATAGGATTATTCTTTAACAAGGTAGGACTGTTTAAAGATACCATCTATTTTAGGGCTTTATTTTAGTACATTTTAAAAATATAACTTAAAAATATGAAATTGTAACTTTAAAGGATTATCTCCCTTAGACTTACTATTTTAACACAAAAATTGTTATTGTCTTTTCAGATATATTCTTTCTATGGCAGCCATTTTAAAATGCACGATCTCCCACTGCCAAGAAGGGCTGGGGATTTGTGGGCTCTGGTTCACGAAGAATCTCCCAAGAATAATCACTACATCTTCTCAAATTTAGAAATACTTCAGTTGTTTAATTTAACTTCCACGTTTAAAAGACAGTCATCATATCCATTAACAACGTTTGGTTTGCGTGATCACGAGAAAATAATGGATCGGACGTTTTTATTAACTCTGGAAGAAAAGAACCGTTATCGTAAATTAGGATTAGCCCCCATTGTGTATGTACAGAGTGGTTGTGACGCACCATCAGATAGGGATAAACTGGTCTATTTACTTCAACAGTATATACCCATAGATTCCTATGGAAGATGTATGAAAAATAAGGATTTCCCTAAAAGGTTAGATTTAAGATTTGTTAGCGGGTGTGTGTGTGTGTGTGTGTCGGATGATATCGTAAACTTTAAGATTTACGACTGTGTTTTTTTATCCGACCACCACGAATTACGTGTAGACACTCAGGGGATCAAATGTCATATATATAAATTGTTCAGAGCAGTCGGGCAAAGAAAGGGGGGGGGGGGTCTAGAGTGTCACGCTTCGACAATCTGGTTAAAACACAGATCCCCTTTCGTTTCGTTTATATAGTTCAAAATTTCGTTTTACTCGTCTTTACTACACTTGGATCTGGAAGAGTTGTTATTTAACTGTGTTCTGAATGGTGTCAGGGATAAGCCAATGAAACAGTCTGTTACAGCGAGCTTTAGGCGTGTTTTGCGCGGAACTGTGGGTAATTCACTAGTAACATCAATGCTGATTGGTTAATCAAATATCTGACGTCATAGGGTCATAAGTCGGTCTTTTGACCCCTGACATGACCTATGGCTATAACTTGTTAGATCTTCATGTAGTGTAGGCTATCGAAAGTATAAAAAAACGAAACGAAATATAGATCTGTATTGTAATCAGATTGACGCTTCGACATCTAGCGGGCCGATCACCTCAGGCTAGCGGCCGTGGTTTCTATCCCTGGTGTGAACGTATGTGGCTTGGAGATAGGGACGCATTCTCAACCTCGTGGGTTTACTCAGGGTACTTCGGTTTCCTCCCACAGGAAAGACCCCTGCGCGTGCGCTAAGAGAATGAAAATAAAAAAAGACAATGTGTCAGCGATATCACCTTCGGTGGAACAACAACTACCGGGCAAAGAATCGTAGCAAATTTCAACAATTAGTGACAACCATTGTGGACGCTCTGACGACTTAACCTACTGCCGCCTTATCTTATTTATTTACTGGAATAATAAAATCGATAAGGTGAAATCTTATTTATTTACTGGAATAATAAAATCGATAAGGTGAAATGCATTTATTTTTTGACATATTGATGAAACTGTGAGAGGATAGGCGTCTAGTATCAGTTTGAAACATAGAGATTCTGTCATATTGGGGGGTTGGATGACCGAATGGTTAGCACGCGCGCGCTGTACCATAAGGCCTCTCATTGAGTCAACTGGCGTGGTTTAGAATACCCGGTTGTACGTGACAAGGAGTAGGGGCGCCCTTCCAACCTCGTGGGTTTTCTCCGGGTCTTCCGGGTTCCTTCCACTGTTTAAGACCCCTACGCGCATGCAAATTATTGAAATAAAATTTAAAACCATATGTTAGTCCCGAAATTTTCTCTTATCTAGTGACAGTCAATTTTTTAAATGAAGTGTCAGATATCGTTTCACAGTCTCACACAACAACTTTTGGTCTTCGAAGGAATTATTAGTGAGCAGAAATTCGTCCATGTATCTAGCTGTTTTCACCCGTCACTTCAGTCAGTTATATAGAGGGATAACTGTGTTTTCCTTTTCGCGTTCGTCACTTTAAATTGTCCTTTAAATCTTATTTTAAAATATCATTTCAGTTTGTCTTTTGACGATGATGGCAGCATGGCGCCAATGGAATCCGACGAATTTTATGCTTTCTTGTCACGGTACAAATTTGCCCTTGCCTTTGAAAATGCGATATGTGATGACTATGTTACAGAAAAGTTCTGGCGCCCGATTCAGATAGGCGTGGTTCCAATTGTGTTTGGATCCCCGACAATTAAGGCAAGTGATATTTTGCTATAAATATGTTTATGACAGATATATGTATCTCTTCAACTAAGGTTGTACGTGACAAGGAGTAGGGTCGCCTGTCCAACCTCGTGGGTTTTCTCCGGGTCCTCCGGTTTCTTCCCACTGCTAAAGACCCCTACGCGCAAGCGAATTATTGAAATATAATTAAACCATATGTTAGTCCCGAAATGACCTAGTTTGTGTCGAGTGGACGTTAAACCCCTTTTCTCTCTGTGTGTCTCTCTCACTGTCTCTCTCTCCCTCTCTCTCTTCAACTAAAAGCGTTGTGCCATTAGGTGACCTCGGTGGTTCAGTGAGTAAGACGCTGGCTCGCTAACCACGAGGTATCGGGTTCGCTGCCGGTGTTGGCCGAGTATATTCCTCGGGTTTTTCCGGCGTCCAGTGGTGCTGGGTGGGATTACAAGGAACAGTGTCTAGACGATCAGATGTGACAAAAACCCGAGTTCGGTGTACACATTAGTTTTGGGGATCACGTGGCTAAGTGGGTAAGACGCTGGCTCGCTAGCCTGGAGGTCGGGTGTTCGATCCCTGCATTGGCCGAGAAAGTTCATCCAGACTTCCGGCGTGGTTCCCCCTTGTCAGTGATGCAGGACGGACGGCCTGACAAGGACAGCTGTCTAGTCCTTCGGATGAGACGAAAAAGCGAGGTCCCGTGTATACATTGGAATGCACGTAAAAGATCCCTTGGCAGTTGGAATTCGATATAAGAGTGGGCCGTAGTGCATACTGTATGCCCGTCTTCATTAGTCCAGTCGGTGTAGAAATGTCGGACGTTAAACCCCATTTCGTTTTAGTCTAGTCAAAATACTGAAAAACCCACAACAAATTCCTTTAGAATATTTATTAGTACCGTCTTGTAGATGACCTTTCCCTGTACATCATACTGAAAATCCACCGAAATCCACTTGGGGTTTTGGGAGTTATCGACGTGATAATTTAATAAATTCCCCCCGAATAACTGCGTCCGGAAGCGAATATCGACGGGTTTATAACGTCACACTTTTCTCCATCGCTGGAAACCACGCGTTTCAATCCCGTATTGACCGAGAAGGTTCACCGAAATTTACATCAGGCATGGTTACACCTTGTCAGTCGTGCAAGACAGAGGGCCATGGACAACGTATACTCCTTCGGATGGTACGTAAAAGAATTTTCGGCAGTTTGAATTCGATGTAAGAGTAGACCGTAGCCCAGACACAATTTCCCCTTTAGGACTCAAAAAAACTCGACAAAAACTATAATTCGCTTGCACGTAAGGTCTTTAACTTTGGGGGAAAACCAGTGGACCAGGAGAAAACCCACGAGGTTAGACGGCGACCCTATTCCTTGTCACGTACAAGCGGAGAATCAAAACCACACCACTTGACTCAATGACACTTATGCTCTAATGTGCACAGGTTAATCAATCGACCCCTCCCCCCCGCCCCGCCCCGCCCCATAACCAAAGAACAATAACATAAACCGAGAATATTAGCTGAATACTTGGGCATTTGCCGTGACCGAACGCTATGCATTTCTATTTTATTTTAAAAGAAACCTATTGGAAGACGACAGATGTATCGAATTGCTTGTTCCTTTATTTTAATCTGTATCGGGGGTGGGGGTGGGGGGTGGGGGGTGGTGGATGGCCGAATGGTTAGCACGTGCGCACTGTATCATAAAGCCTGTCATTGAGTCACCTAGCGTGGTTTCGAATCCCCGGTTGTACGTGACAAGGAGTAGGGTCGCCTGTCCAACCTCGTGGGTTTTCTCGGGACCCCTACGCGCAAGCAAATTATTGAAGTAAAATTAAACCATATGTTAGTCCCGAAATGACCTAGTTTGTGTCGAGTGGACGTTAAACCCATTTCTCCCTCTCTTTTTTTTAATCTGTATCATATATAATTGATTTAATTGAGTATCAGTTATATTCGCTTTCGCTTTGTCGTCTCTGAAATAATAAAATTGAATTATATCTATTGTTGCATAATAGATGATGGTGTAAAGGTATCTTGTATTATTAATGTAGTGTGACATGGTGATCAATCAGGGACAGTTAATGATGCATATTATGTCAAATTTAGATATAATAGAGGCCTGGGCCCTGTTTCACGAAATCTTAACTAAGGATAGAATCCAAGTTTTAGTAGATACTTCAATTGTGATTGGCTAAGCACTAAAATCAATCTAATATTATCCAATCAAATTACTAAAATTTGGATATTATCTTAGTTAAAATTTCGTGAAACAGGCCCCAGGTATGTACATAAGCGAGAGAGAGAGAGAGAGAGAGAGAGAGAGAGAGGGATCGGGGTATCGTCCACTTGACACAAACTAGGTCATTTCGGGGCTAACATGGTCTTAATTTTATTTCAATAATTCGCTTGCGCGTAGGGGCCTTTAGCATGGGAGGTAACCGGAGGACCAGGAGAAAACCCACGAGGTTGGACAGGCGACCGTACAACCGGGGATTCGAAACCACGCCAGTTGACTCAATGACAGGCCTTATGATACAGCGCGCATGTGCATAAATGATTTATATAACATTTGCGGCTACAGGAAATATCTGCAATAGCCAAATTCACATTAAGAATTCGCTTTTATTCATTTTAATTAGCAAAAGGACACCCTTTTGCCTACTTCAATAATTTACAAATCCAAATGTCACCGCAAATATATGTCCATTTATTTGTGGAGTCATGGTGGCTAAGTGAGTAAGGCGCTAAGTCGCTAGCCTGAAGGTTCGATCCTGGTGTTGACCGAGAAAGTTCTTTGGGATTTTCCGGCATGGTTTCCCCTTGTCAGTGGTGCAGGTAGGAGGGCCTGACGAGGACATCTGTCTAGTCGTTCGGATGTTACGAAAAATCAAGATCCCGTTTAGTCTACACATGTCATGCACGACAAAGATCCTTTGGCAGTAGGCTTAGAGCCGCTGTCCGGGCTAAATTTCTCTCATAGCACACTGTGTGGCATATGCCCGACTTCATTAACCCAGTCGGATCAGAGCAGTAGGACGCTAAACTCTATTTTATTTCATTTCATATCCATTTATTTTTCAGGATTTTTTGCCAGATGAAAAATCAGCAATAATAACTAGTGACTATTCTTCTGTAAAAGAACTGGCAGACCATTTATGGCATTTAGATGAGCATGACGATGAATTTTCTCAACATCTACAATTTAAGTTTTCTGGAATAACAAATCCTAAGCTAAAGAAATTCATAGAGAAGAGAGAATGGGGACGAGGCAAAGCCGCGTTTGATATGTTCACTGCCTACACTTGTTTTCTGTGTCACACAATACACGATATTAAACGCGACCCGAAAAAATTCTACAACAAGGAGTTTAAGAAGGTAGATTTATCACATTACGGGTGCCCAGCCCCTCTTCGATTTGATTCAAATGGTATTTATAACGTTGTGGACTCTTGGTGGCAACAGGAATGGACGTTTTCTAAATATTTAGCAAGGGCAGCAAAATATTACCATGACAACAACGAAATAGTTTCCCCGGAACAATTGAATTCATTCGCCCAGGTTCTCTACAAAACGGGATTATAGACTAAAAGAGGAATGTGTGTAAACATTTATATTTAAACGCAAACAATATCATAGAAACGATTGCGATCTGTGACAATAAAAAAATTAAAGCATTTATTTCATAGCCTTAACAGTTTACAAAAATTAGAGACTGTGCAAACAACTATGATCTTTTAGATATGAACATGAAATGAAATGGGGTTTAACGTCCTACTGTTCTGCTCCGACTGGGCTAATGAAGACGGGCATACGCCATACAGTTTGCTATGAGGGAAATATTGTCCGGGCAGCGGCACTATGGTCTACTCTTATATCGAATTCATACTGCCAAGGGATCTTTTACGTGTATGCCAGGGTGTTCGATCCCTGCATTGGCCGAGAAAGTTCATCCAGATTTTCCGACGTGATTCCCCCTTGTCAGTGATGCAGGACGGAGGACCTGACAAGAACAGCCGTCTATTCGTTCGGATGGGACGAAAAACCGAGGTTCCGTGTACACATTATCGTGCATGTAAAAGACCCTTTGACAGTTGGAATTCGATATAAGTGTAGGCCGTAGTGCTGCTGTCCGTGCAAAATTTCCCTCATAGTACACTGTATGGCGTATGCCCGTCTTCATTAGCCCAGTTCGGAGCAGAACAGTAGGACGTTAAACGCCATTTCATTTCATTTCAAGTGCATGCCAATGTATACACGGAACCTCGGCTTTTCGTCCCATCCGAACGACTAGGATACGAACACAATGAACTGTGATTAATTAAAATTACCGCTTCTGTAAACACAGAGTGTGTAACAGTTTAAAGTAGCTAAGTCTCTAACTCAATATCATCAAAAATCTTCGACATTGAAAACACGAATTATTTGTCAATTCAAATCAACATTGGTCTATTGATCTTACAGGGAAAAGGTGGGCTTCTGATATCCAATATTTAAGAACAAATAAACATTTCACCATTGGTACACAAATCGTGTACCATAATGCGTTTCAGCGCCATTTGGAACAAGGGACTCATAGAACAGGGCTAGACATATTCCACAAGTCATGTCAAATGGTGACGCTTTATTCTTATCTGGAGAGCATGCGCAATAAATACCATCGGTGTAGACTAAAAAAAACCCAGACGCTAAAGATTGCCATTGACATGAGACTTCTTGTGTATTTCGCCGAACATAACTGATTAGAAATTACAGTAAAAACAGAAACGATTGAATGTAAATCAGTTTATATACATTCATGTTACATTATAATATGCGTTGCGACCCATTTGTGTCAATTTCTAGATCTCAAATATTAGCGATTTAGCTCCTTTAAAAGGAACAATTTGGTGATAAAGATAAGTCAATTTAATATAGAGAATATTCCAAAAATACAGATTTTATGTTGGAGAGGTGACCCTACTCCGTGTCACGTACAACCGGGGATACGAAACCACGCCAGTTGTCTCAATAACAGGCCTTATGATATAGCGCGCACGTGCTAACCATTCGGTCATCCAGCCCCTCCTTAAAGATTAGATTATTGCGATAATATTGAGTGATGGAAGGGATATTTAGATGATATTTTCTACACATATTGTCCCTTTTCAAATCTAACATGTCAAGAATTGCTTTATTGACATAGGATTTAACTATAATTAGCATACAGTGCAACTTAAAGGGGAATTGTGGACGATTAGATAAAAAGCTGACAGTTCTCACTATAATAGTTAAAAACTAGAGAATATAAAGGGGATATTCTGAACATTTCAGTCAAATTGCTCCACTCTGAACCGAGATATACGTGATTTAATTGTAGGCCTAGCCCCTGTTATCATTACTAAAGTCGGTACGATAAAAGAAACATAGTCTCGATTATACATTTTGACGTTAAATCATCCATCACAAAATGTACCAATTCGCTAAATATCCCAGGTTAGCGATGGCATCGAGAGTTGATTATGAGTGTTGAGCAGCCGATCGGATTCTAATCCGGTGAAAATCCGACATATAAGATGACATCTAGAGTTGATTATGGTCTTGTTTTAATGTCTCATTAATAGTTTAAATAATATTTCAGGCCTAAAGAAAGACCTGCAATAGGCAGATTTAGCTCTTGCATAATGTATGTTTAATGTTTAGATTTCATAGTGTGACCTACATTAATATAGACTCCCCGTTTTTACATATTGGTTAAAGTACAATCGTCATTTTTCTGTCTGGTTATTATTTCTATTGATCCTGATGTAGTTTTGAAAGAGGTTATTTGGAATGTCTTAACAATGTAGTCTAGCAATGCCACCATCTTCCCCTCTCCATAGGAGCCACAATAGTAATATCAGACCTTTGAATGCTATGGGTATCACCTAAGTTACAAAAATGAATTACGGCGACAAAACGACTGTAAGGACGCAAAAATAAAACAGAGGTGGGGTAGAGTCATAGGCGTACGGGCTCGATGACAGATATGGGGCCAGAACCTGACAGGCCCGAAAAAATTTCGGGTTTACAGACAGCGGCGCCGGTCTTTCTCGAGAGGCGAAGAAGCTGAGCTTACCTTGTATTTTGAAATATTTGACGGCTGAGAACACGTTTTCCTGCTATTTCAGTCCGTGAACAAACCAACTTCAAAGTCGTCTAATATAGCCTAATTTAGGTGGCTAACTCGAATTCCAATCAATCGTTTACAGTCCACGGAGACGGGACCGTTGGGAGAAAATTTTGACAATTTAACTGCCGCAAACGCGTTTTCCTGCTATTCCAGGCTGTGATTACAGCAACTTAATTTGGTCCAATATAGCCTGCCTGGCTGACCCGAATTCCAAACAACCAATCAATCGTCGCGGGGTATGGGGGCCTCACCCCTTCGGAGAAAATTTTGAAAATTTAAACACCGCAAATGCGTTTCCAATGGTTTTGTAACCCAAATCCCATTCTGAATTCCAACCATCCAATCAGACTGTTGCAGCTGCATTCACAAATAATAATCAATGCCCGAAAAATGTCGCACAAATTCAGTATAGTTAAATCAGTATAAATTCCTGGTATTCAATTAAAAGAAAAGTAAAATTAGTGTTTTATTAGGACTCGATGACAGTTAGGAAAGTAAAACTAGACATTCAGGTTAACAGACAGCGGCGCCGGTTTTCTACGAGAGGCGAAGAAGGGGAGCTAACCTTGCATGGATCCCCAAGAAAAGTTTGGAATATTTGACGGCCGCTATTCCAGCCCGTAAAATTAGTGTTTTATTAGATTTCGGGCACTTTATTTTGCAATTCCAATTGCCAAGGGATCTTTTACGTGCACGCCAATGTATACACGGGACCTCGGTTTTTCGTCCCATCCGAACGACTAGACAGCTGTCCTTGTTAGATCTTCAGTCCTGCACCACTGACAAGGGGGAACCACGGGGGAAAATCCCAGTGAACTTTCTCGGCCGATGCAGGGATCGAACATGCGACTTCCACGCTAGTGAGTCAGTGTCTTACCCACTTCGCCACAGTGACTCCCGCTCCAAAAGGAACTACCCATATCTGGGCAACTTTTCGCAAGTTTGATTTCCTTGATCTTTTAATTATAAAGCTAGTAGCTGCGCTGTTGTGACTAAGATATTTGCTTCATTGCTTTCTAAATATTTAATTTCAATGTTTTGGATTTTCATGCAATACTTTTTTTTATCGTTATGTGTCATATGGATACCATAGGCATTGAAACTGTTGTTTTATCACCCACAGGTGTTGTGAATAAATGCTGTCACTTAATAGCTTATTATTTTTCCACACGAACTAACAATGATTTGTTGCTTGGAGTTTTCAATAAAACGAACATTTTGATTTTATAACTGTAAAATTTCTTTGGCTCAAAAATTATTAATTCATATGACGTATCTTATTCCCCACACACTTTGGCTTTAGCGACATTTAAGTATTGCACTGAACCGTTGGGTAGGATACGTGTTGACATCGGGCCCTATTGTTCTTCAGTCCCAACAAAAGGCTGTAACACTGAATAAAATGAATATCATCACAATTAACTTAACAGATTTGATTATAAATAATAAGTTAGGCTGTATCATGATACAATATTATATTACACCACTGACTCGTCATGCATCAAAATGAATGTATAGTATTTTAATAGATAATGCTGTCCTGATCTTACAATACTATATTGGTTAATTTTAATAATTCAGAGACGGCAAATTGATGGCCGGATAACTCCCAGTCAAATCAAGTAAACCATATAATCAACATGGAAATAAAAAGAAAAAAAGGAAGTCGATACAATATGGAAGGGTATCGCTGCCAATATCAAATGCTCTGCTAAAATATATTTTCTATTCATTACGTGTAAAAAGTACGATGTACGAAGTCTTAATACCGGTAATGATAAAGTCAAATTACCTATAAGACCAAAGTTAAATGCAAAACGTCAAATGCAATGTGTCATTTGTCCTTCACGCTTTCTACATAACGTCTTACGCAGAGCACCAAGTTTGATATGCAAATGTAGGATATCACATATACGGAAAAAAGGCCGCGATATCACCTCGGTGGAAGCGGGCGTTAAATAAAGCTATTTCACACACACAAGATATTTACCCCACGATATTGAGGCAATCAACATGACAACCTACAAGAAATTCAGGGGACGACCCCGCATGCAATAAAATCGTGTGATTGGTATGGTTAATCCGAGCTTTTGACAAATAACATAAATAGACAATATAGTCTATATTTAGGTCGGGTGTTCGATCCCTGCATTGGCCGAGAAATTTCATCCAGATTTTCCGACGTGGTTTCCCCTTGTCAGTGGTGCAGAACGGAGGGCCTGACAAGGACAGCTGTCTAGTCCTTCGGATGAGACGAAAAACCGAGGTCCCGTGTATACATTGGAATGCACGTAAAAGATCCCTTGGCAGTTGGAATTTGATATAAGAGTAGGCGATAGTGCCGCTGCCCGGGCAAAATTTCCCTCATAGCACACTGTATGACGTATGCCCGTCTTCATTAGTCCAGTATAGGAGCAGAACAGTAGGACGTTAAACCCCATTTCATTTTATTTCATTTCTATATTTAGCAATTAGGTTACTGTCGACAAAACAAGAACGACTTTTCTTTCTCTAAAGTACGTAATTAT